GGGAAGTCAAGGGCTTAAAAATCACCCAAGCAAGTTAAGCTGAGATGCTACAGGTGGTTGCAGTATGCAGAGACTGAACATGGTGTGCACGTTTCTTGGCCATATACTCAGGGGACTCATTTTTGGTAAGTCCACTTTCTCTTTCAGGCTTGAAGCAGAATTGAAAGTGCCAGAAATTCCAATATACTTTCTGCCACTATTCAAGTACACCTTCCCCCACATCAGAGAAGGACCCATGGACCTGCACTGAAAAATCATTATCTACATCAAGAAAATAATTTTAAATTGGGGTTGCATATTTCATGGGGTTGAAAGTAATTTAATGATATGTATTCACATTTGTACTATCACATGGGGTATCTTCACACTCTAAAAGTCTTGCTCTACCCTCCATTTGGTGACCACTGGTTTTTGGTTTTGTTTTTAATTGCGTCCATCTTTGTCTTTTCATGAAGTCATACAATTGTTACCACACATGACTTTTTTTCCAGTGGCTTTATTTGCTTAGTACCACACACTTGAGGTTCCTTGCTCTTCTCACAGCTTGATTTACCTTTTTATTTTTTCATCGGTTCCTGTATTCATTATTTACTGAAAGACATCTCGGTGATTTCTGAGTTTCGGGAGTCACTAATACAGCTTTTCTAAGGATCTGCATGTAGGTTCTTGCACAGGTGTACATTCTCAGCCCATTTGGATTTTACAGTACAAATAACCTCAGTCTTGTGAGAAACTCCCATCTGCTCTCTAATGGATCCACGCAGTCTAGCATTTCCTCATCAGCAAACGGGAGCTCAGGTTGCTGTGCATCCTAGCCAGCATTTGGTGTTGTCTCTTCTGGATTTTGGTCACTCTGGTAAGTGATAAAACCTGCATTCATTTCCCTCTTGACACCAGTGTGCAGCATCTGCCCATCAGCTTTTCTTTTGAGAGCTGTCTGGGTCTTTGGTTCACTTTTCAAAATCGGGTCATTTGTGGTGGCTGAGTTTTAATTCCTTGCACATCTTGGGTAACATTCCTTTATCTGGTATTAGTTGAAAAGACTTCTTACTAGTCTATGATTTGTATTTTCATTCCTTTGCTTTTCACAGAACAGGTTTTTTTTTTCTCCTCACTTCCCTTCTCCTTCTTCCCTGTCTTTTTGAGATGCTGGGGTCTCAGACTCATGGTCTGCTGCTTGCTAAATTAGAGCTCTCCCACTGAGCTGGCTGAAAATCCAGTCCAGAAACTTAGTCTTTAAAGTTTGTATTATTGCTTCTTTCATCGATTGTGTCTTTACAGGTCATCAACTAAAGCCAGAATTTTTTTCTATCTTAGTTCTGTTTTGCATTTGGGCTATTTGACCTTTTTGCTTGTTTGGTTTTATTTTTTGTTTTTGTTTTTTAGACTGCAGCATGGTCCTCAGCTTCCTACATTTTGCACGTAGATGTTTACTGCACTGTGTGACTTCTGCCCCCTTTTTCCAAAGATCAGCTGACTATATACTCTACGTCTGGGTTTCCATCTCACAGACCTCCTCAAGGCTCTAGTTTTCCTCTCCTTTCATACTGTGTTAGGGGGATCTCTGGTTCCTTCTAGGTGTGTCCTATCCTGCTGTGACACATGAGGGTTATGAATGTGGTCCAACACAAAAATCACAAGCTCAATTAGAATATCATTTTTTTCTTCTAACATGATTGCATAGTTTCTGAGCATAGTTTTTAAGTGATGTTATAGAAAAATGTCAAAATATTGGACATTCTCAAGATTTTAGATACAGTTTGCCAATGTGCACAGAGTAAATTATTGGATTTTGATTGAGATTTCATCAAATCTATCCATCAGGCTGGGAAGCACTGATATCCTGAGTTTTCCTATTTACAAACATGAAATATCTTACCTTTTGGATTTTTAGTTTCTTTCACTGGTTTTATTTTTCTCTTCTAGATCTCCTAGATATTTTGTTAGATCTGTGCCTATAGACTGTATTTCATTTTGAGAGGTGCTCATATGAATGGGGTTGTATTTTGAACTCCAAACTCTACTTGTTTATTGCTGGTACATAGGGAAATGATTTGCTTTATTAACCTGATGTCCTGCAGTATGGCTTCCCTTAAAAAATGTAAATAAATATATATATACATACATACATATATATGCATATATATATGTACATATCTGGAAACTTTGTCTAGCATCCTCTCTGGGCACCTCTTCTGATCCTGGAAGGAACAGACTATCCCAATCTGATCAGACTTGGGAAAGTTTCTCTACCTTGGAGGCAGGGGGTGAGGACATTAAAATAAATGCTCCCTGTCACAAAGGATTGCAGATTTCTTTGCCAAAAAGGTCCAATATGACCCTAATTGATATAAGATAGCGGGGGAAGTGGCACCGAAAACTAGTGTTATGACTGGCCCACTTTCCTTCCTCCTCCTAGAGAAAGGCGCTAAGGCAGGGAGGTAGAGAGAGCTAATTAACAAGTACTGAATGTGACTGTCCTCTGAGTCAAGCTGATGCCATGTTGGGGAGTTCAGCAGAGCCCGAGCGAATCATCCCAGCTGGGCTTGTTGAGTGTTTACACCTCTCATGAAGGGCTGGGAGGATCACAAGATGCTCCTCTGGGATCCAGCAGTTCCCTACCACCTGTTTATGCAACACAGTCTTAATGGCAGGATTGGTGCAGCACTGGAGTATCTGGCTTGGGGAGACTAAAGAAGGGGTTGCATCAATAGGGCTAACAGGAAGTCCTCCATCCCTGCTGGGTAAAGGCTTTTAGGGGAGGGGTACCCACACCACTGTAAGCAACCCCTCACCTATGCTTTGTACGTAAGCCCAATAAAGTCATTGATTCTCCAGAGTGAACCTTAATAGGATGGTGCCCAAGTTTGTCCTTTGGACTTTAGGGGGAGGGGTAGATGTTGCCTATGGCTCCCCTGAGAAGGAATTTTAACAAGTACTATGAACAAAAACTACCCCTTTGAAGAAACTGTCTATTTTCTCTGAAAACCCAAACCTATCAAAGTTTGACAAAAAGCTCATCTCATTTGCTTAGGAGGTTGAGCTTGGGCCAGGATGGTTAGGACAACTGAATCTGAGGTCAGCCTGCACTTCAAAGAAAGCTCTGTGTAATAGTGGGTGATACAGTGAGTAACCTCCTCAGAGCAAAACCAAAACAACAAAATAAGCAGCCTTTGGCTGCCAATCCTGTGCACATGTTTGTTTGATACCATGGAAACACAGTTGATAAAAACACAGTGGCAAAACCATGCCAGGGAAGAGATCAAAGGCCAGGTCAGGCATTTTCTTCACTGTCCAGATTATTTCAAAACGTGTTATGTGTGTGGGTATTTTGCCTGCAAGTCTCTGGCTGCATACCACATGTGTGCACAGTGCCTGAAGAAACCAGAAGTGGGTGCTGGGAATTGAACCCAGATCTTCTGCAAAGGCAAGTGTTCTCACAACCATTGAGCAATCTCTCAAGCCCCAATATATATATAACATTAATATTTCTTTTTGTGAATGATTTTTTCTAGATTAGACACCCAGACATAGAATTGTTGGTTCCTCTGCACTAAGTACCCATAACTACTGAGCCATTTATCTTGTCCCCTCAACAAAATTTTAAACTTGAGTGAAATTTATATTGTTATGAGGGAGCATACAAAAATGTAACACAATGTAAACACCAGAGTTAATGAGCAGAACTCAGTAGTTAGAGCCTATAAATAACCTGGAGGCAGGAAGTCCTGGCTCCCTTACCCTAAATACCCCAAAGCTAGTGTTTACTCAACTACCTGTCCAGGAGCTGCCCAGCCTTCAGTTTCCTGTGTTCTCCACCCAATGGAAACCCCTGTAAGTTTTCCCTCCCGGAATCTGTCATTTGGAATGATTATGATCAAACCAATGTGTTTAATCTTGCTTGGGAAGATGGCCTGCCTGGAAAATACAGGGACTAGAGTTAAGATCCCCTGAATCCATGGAAAAAAGCAGGGGTCGTGATGGCCTACAATCCCAGCACTCTGGAGGCAGAAATAAGGGATTCCCCAAAACAAACAAGCAAGTTAGGCTAGCCAGAATCAGGAGCTGGAATTGGCACACTCTGGGTTCAATAAGAGGCTGAACTGCCTCAGTAGGGTGGGAACTGATTAATATACCTATGTCAACTTCAGGACTCCATATGCATACACATATACATGCAAACAAGCTTGTTCACACAACATGTGAACACACATGCTATCCAATTTACTGCATATAAACCCACATCAGGCTGCAGAAAGGTTGCAAAATTCTAGATGGAGCACAGAATGTCACTGCTAGAAGTGAGCATTTCCCCAGCTACTGCCAAAGTTGGGTAAATGAAGACTAAATGGACTATAATGATCTAAGACCTTCACATCCTGCCACGTTTCTATCCATATATCGAAGGCAAGCAAGACTCTACATGGTTTTGTATGTAGCTCTACACTCACAGAGAGACTGGAGCCTTTTTAGGATAGGTTGTCTGACATGCAGATGTCTCTCCTGTCTGAACACCAGCTGCAGAGATTAGATTAACATGCAGTTATCTGGTAACTTAATGGCAAGCAAAACTGGTGGCAGTTATCATAACACTGAGTCCATCCAAAGAACAGAAAGGTCAGGGTTTGGAGGAGTTGACAGTTGCTTGCCTTCAAATTGGACTGAGCTGAAAGGAAACCAGCGGGAAGCCTCTGTGTTCCAGGGTGTTAATAAAACCCGTCTTCCTCTACACTGGTGGTATTTCTCATACTGATGCACACCAGAAATGCACCACGATGGGAAGGTGTTGATTCTGGGGAGTAGAGCTCCAGGACACCTCACTCAGATGTGCTACACAGTCCAAGTACACAACAGGAAACTACGTTCCTTTGACTCCAGCATGAACACATTAAAAAATACATATATAGTTCAGACTTACTGGTTTGCAACATTTAAATTCAATGGTGTAATGCACCAAGTAGTATAATGATGCTATTTTAATAATTCATAGAAAACACATGTACACCCAATGAAGTCATCTTTATTGCATATTGCTATTTTAAAAAATGTACAGTCTCATAACACACATACAACATCCTTTTTTCTTGGTTCTGTAACAACAGTCTTGCACCTAAAGACTAAGTGGTTCCAACTATTAAGCTAATAAGATACGAGACATTTAATTAAGTTTAAAAAGTATAATGCTTTTTCTTTTTAGCATCATTAAAAAAATCTTTAAAATACATATTCAAGAGAGAAGAGTGGCTACTTATACCAGCACCAGTCTAAAAAGTAGATTTTTCATTTGTTTGTTTATAACAATGGCACATGGAATTACCTGCACACAGTTTTTTGGAAAATAAACAAATATTGGGAATGGCAAAGGAGGCCTACCAGGATGGCTTACATCAAAGTGAGGATGGTTTTAAAAGGGCAAGGGGACATGCTACACAAACTTGCTCTCTGTTTTGAGTCTTTCCACAGTTCCAAAACTGAGCTCGACCAAACTTTTCCTGCTATAAGTAGAAAAGAATATACATAGAGGCACTTAGTCAGGGATGGCAGAAGCCATCATTCCATCCCATCCTCCTCCCCTCCAAGCTCGCTGAGCTATGTCTCCATCAGCAGCACCACGGCCACGGTGTGTTTGCCCACAGTGTAGCTTGGGGCCAGGAGTCAGCTCTGCTTTGTACCTGTGACTGCTTTACTGAAGAGCCATTTACTTACATAGAATGGGTAGAAAGTCGCTATGTTTGCAACAAGGAAAAACAAAAAGTAAAAAACCACAGCTCTTGACAATTCTTAGAGCACTGTTTCACAGCTTTTACACAGCACAGATCCCTTGCCATCTGCACTAAGCATTTTAGTTCATACAGATTTTTTAAATAGTATGATTCCTTGTCTATTCTGCACATTGGCATTCTATCGTCCCTGAAAACCCTATTGAAGTGTGAACTCCTTGGTGGGCAGGGACTCTGTCTTGCTTACCACTATAGCTCTACTATGCCTGGTACATAGTAAGTGCTTAATAAATATTTGATACTTGACTGAAAAACTCAGTTTAGTGAGTAAATAATATTCTAGTGCAATAGGAAAAACTACTCTCTCCACAGGAAACCCAACCACAAAAGAATAGATGGAAAACAGAAAACACTAGTCCCTCCCCACACCCGAGTACAAATAAATAAAGCAAAAGAAAATAGTAACAGTCCTCTTTACATACCATATAACTTAACGATACTAAGAGTTGGCAGGTCAGTGGTAAGCATCTATATTTATTTTCTAATGTTCATTGTTTCATCATTTCTCCCTGAGAGCTTTGTGTTTTTGGATTGAAGTTGAACAGGTAGCGTCACTGACACACAATTGAAAATGACAACACGTAACAGCAATCGCTTCAAATATTCTTTGAGATAAATAGATCTGAGCATCCCTGTAGATACTGTTGACATTTTGTGTCACTGTGAGTGTCCTTTATCCCAAGATATGCAGCGTGGCCTACACAGGAAACAGAAGACACCCCAAAAGCACCCCACATGCCTTTAAAAAGAATCTTCAGGGAGTTCTTTCTTCCACTAAGTCTTCGGGGGGAAATTTTATTTTCCAGGTTTACAAATCTGTATTGTTAGGTCAAGAAGGTTCTGGAAATCCTGGCCTTCAGCCAGGATGCAGGTGACATTATTTTTATTTTTCAAAAAAAAAAAGAAAGAAAGAAAAAGAAATCACCAAGAGCACTTGGCAGAAAAGTCGATGAAATTAGGGGGAAAAACCTGGTGTTCACGTTTTAAATATACAAAAGAATTGTGACTGACGTTCTATATGATATGAATGTGTGCAAGATGTTCTCAACAGACATCTGTAGACTGTACCCCAACAGCAGCATCGGGACCTTGAAGCTGTTCTTCCAAGTTAGTCACTGATGCAGGCAGCAGTGCCCGACTGGAACCACCAAACTCATCCAGATCTGTATTTTCCAACTCCATTTCTACCAGTGAAAATTGTCTCACTACACCAACTCTGGGAACCATAAAACACTCCACAAGACAAGTCTGTTTTTAACTTCCTGTTTTCTTCTTTTCTTCCTTTTTTTTTTGTTTTTTTTTTTTAATGTTAAGGAATGTCTGTTATCTGTTTCAGGAGGGAGAATTGTGCTTCTGAACATTCAAGGTGTTCAGGGAAAGAAAATGAGCCCCACTCGATATGAATGCATACCTAGAGAGTTTCTGAGCACACACATTAACATAAACTTTTTAAGCATACACATAGGTCCCCGGACAACACTCAGACTTCTATATACATTTTCACATATATACACATACATTTACACACACATTCACACCTTCACTCACAGGTGAGAGAAGAAATTGCCACTGTTTTGATTGCAAGGCAGTGTAATGAAAGTTCTAGTCAGGCCAAAGGGCTACTACTGCGCTTTCTAGAAAAGGATGCAAGAAAATCAAAAATTCAGTTTTGTGATTGGTCGCTCCCGGCTACCATCTGTCACCTGGTTGGAAATGCGTTTGCGGTTCCGTTTGAGTTTGGAGAGGTCTTTGTCAAACACTTCTCCCGAGCGTAAAGCTGAGACCAGGTCGTCAAACTCTCCGCTTTCTTCACTGTTCTCCTTGGCCTTCCTCATCTTGCGCTCCCTCTCCCGTTGTTCTTTGAGCTGTGCATAGAGAGAAGCCTCTTAGGATTGAGGAGTATTTTGTTTTCAGCATAGAAGAATTCTGTGCCATGGGGTAGGGAGTGAATCTCTTACGTTCAGCCATGCATCAGCTGTACTGCTAACCTGCATGGGTGATGTAAATGCTAACTGAAAAAGCAATGGGCAATGGGAGAATAATGACCCTTCCCAACTTCTAAGTCAGTTTCGTTACATTCTCTCTCCGTCTCTCTCTCTTTCTGCATTTGAGGGAGTTAACAGGTAATTTTGGGCTATTATAAAGGATGCTAATGTCCTTTTGAAAACTTATAATTGTTTCTAGAATGTAACTTCTAAGGAGATCCACAGGATTTTTCAGTCTTTGGAGAGAAACTGGCAAATTGCTCAGGAGAAATGTGGTGTGGATCTAAGCTACCCACGTCACTCTAGAATGCACGGTTCTCCCCTCCTCGACAGTGCAGCACAGTGCTGTGGAAACAAAGGCCTGGGTCTGGGTAGTACCTGGAGCACCTGTCTATTATGGGGCCCTGCTTGCTACCCAGTAGCACCGAAGGGAAAGGCTGAAGCACAGAAAATGGAGGGCTGCAGCAAGGGCGCCCAGGAGGACATGCTGGGTGAGCCTCCTCTCACCTGAGCCTCCAGGCGAGCCCGCCTCTCCTCCTCCTCTTTCCTTCTCCTCATGTTCTCATTCTCCTGTTTCGCTTCTGCCACGGCTTGAAGAAACTGGTCAAAAATCCCGAAGAACTCATCTGGCTGTATTTTGCCAGCCTCCTCTCCAAAGTGCTTCACTGCTTTAGTGAACTGGAGAAAAAGATGAAAGAAGACCTCAGTGTTCCAAGAGAACTGATTCCACAGTCAAAATGGATTCTCCCTAGAAGGCTGAAAGCTCAAATATAGCAGATGGATTTTAGCCAGCCCATTATTTATCTTCAGCTGCTGAACACACCTACTCGTCTTTGCAAAGCTGGAAACTGAATACTCCCCAACTTCATGTATCCTGTCCACTTCATTTCAGCTTAGCATCTATGATTTCCATATATGACTTTGTCTTAACAAACAACAGTAAATACAAGAAGGCAAAATACTGAAGGACACGACACCCAAGACCCAGAGACTAAGAGCAAGCACAGCAGGGGTCGGAAACCTTGTACTTTAAGCTTTCCTTTGAAGTACTTTAATACCATTTATTGGGGCCATATGGTGAATATGAAAAACAAATGAGACCCAGGACTTCTGGGCTGCTTTTTCCTATCCATAAGTAATGCTAATGTTGTCTATAGGCTCCCCCGCTCTAATTAGGAAAGAATAACTGACTGTGGAGTCATTAATGCCATCCACAGTTTCTGATTGAGATTACTTTAGGTCAACCCTACAATGTCTCAGAAATCCATTTACTGTCTCTTTCCTGACAAATACGAAGTTAGGAATAATTTTAAAAATTTAAACAAAATATAAAGTAACAAAACAGTATTGCAGTTTCTTTTCAAACCTCCTAACTGTTTCTGCTTACAGTTCTCTGAGGGATTTCCTTAGTAACTTGGAGAGTTTGCTATCCCAAGTCTCAGCATCACCTGGACTACCCAAAGACAGTGCCATTACTGTCAGCACTGAGCTCCTGTGGTGGGAAGGGCCCAGTGTTGCTGGCCCTGTGCAGCCCAACTCAGAGACTAGGCTTCACACTCAACTGAATTCTCTTTCCTGTGCTACTCAACCAGGCTTTGATCAGACCTTATTCAGATCACAGCAATTCCATGGTTTTTAATTGGCTTGAATTTTCTTGCATTATCTATATTGCTAAAGCTTCTGATATTTTAGTAATATTATGCATGTTTTCCATGTTCTTATATATATAACAATTTTGATTAAGATATGCATATTTGTACATATTTCATAATTATTTTAAATTTAGTTATCATGTGTGCATACGTGTAAGTGTGCCGGTGCACGTGTGCCATGTGGAGGTCAGAGGACAACTTTGAGAGTCACTTCTCTCCTCCTGGTGGGAGGTCATCAGGTCATCAGGTTTGCATGCAAAGTGGTTTTACTCACTGAAGCATCTTACAGGCCCTCCTATTTTAAAATATATTTTCCATCATTTTCTCTTAATGTGGAGCTGTTCTCAATGTTTTACTTATTTGGAAAAATTCTATTACAAAACAGAACTCTTTAGGGAGAAACATAACATTCTTCACACACCACATTAGAGTAGTCTAGCTTGATTCATGGTTTTATAAGCTTATTTCTAAAAGTTCTGGAATGAACAAAACAGCAATAAACAGTCTACAGCTGAGCTTCTAAAATATTCAAGTTCATGCACTTTAAGCCATCATGGATGATCTTTTTATCTAGGAATTCTAGAGATGATGAAGTCATGTATATTTTAGTCTTGGAAATGTGAAAGAACCTCAGGCTAGATTAATGTTCCCACACACACACACACAAACACAGGGTTCTCTGCATGTGCGCTTAAATAAATAAATAAACAAACAGCCCAGTTGGTTCTGTATTTTCGCTCCTTGATGAGGTGGGTCATACATCAGGACTCCAGGTAGGAGGAGACCCCTTCTTTTACAAACATAAGAATGAACAGGATTCTCATGTTGGCAGTTTGAACCATACCCAGGGATAGTGTCTGTCTTGTTTTTGCTGTGGTATATCAGAGGTGGGTCTCTAATGGTGACCATGTGGCACATACTGTTTCCTTATTTATTTGGTATGCCTGGAAGGTAGTACTGAGATTAGCTGATGTTTGTGAACACAGCCTCTGACCTTGAGATCAATAAACCACACCAAATAACTCAGTCTGATTACTGGGAAATAATGCCTACTACTCAAGCTTGAAGGAGAGACTAAAGCAAAAGGAGTATGGTGTCAGCTGAAAGATTGTACAGGTTAGTTTTTGTCAACTACACACATCTGGGACGAGTGGCGTTTCAATTGAGGAATTGTCTACAACAGACTGGCCTATGCACAAGTCTGGGGGGGCGGCATTTTCTTGATTAAGGATCGATGTTGGAAGACAGGGCTGCCCTTTGGCAGATGGTCCTGGGTTGAATGAGGAAGCAGGCTGAGCAAACTGTGGGGAGCAAGTCAGTAAGCAGCACTCCTCCATGGCCTCTGCATCAGCTCCTGCCTTGAGTTCCTGCCCTGACTTCTTCATGTAGACAGTGATTGGGACATCTAAGGCAAAGAAACCCTTTCCTCCCCAAGTTGCTCTTGGTCATTTTATCACAGTGCCAAAAGCAAACTCGGAGATGGGCAGTGTAGAACTCTGGTGGAGAATGGGCCTAATATCACCCATGAATAGTAAGAGGGTACTTGAGGGAAGATATACCAAGGGAGCATGCTTAGAAGTCTTGGTTATTACCTAACAAAAAGTTATTAGCCTTTCTGCACAAGTAAACAGTGTTTAAATAGAAAGAACCACAAAACAGAAACGTCTTACTAAAATAAGGTTCCTTTGTAATGAGGCTGTGATGTGAAATGCATCTGTTAACATGCCCCTCATATTTGCAGAGACGGTATCCTGTCCCCTGGGGGCTCTGTCTCAGATGAGCTTCCTACACAGAGATACATGACCTTGGTCATACCTGCTCCTGGATCTCATCACCTACCCCAGTTTCAACCCAGAGGAAACCAAGGAAAAGGTGCCACCATCCCAAGCCTTCAAAGGCTTGCATAGGCAAAGGTAACAAAGGATAGTTAGACAGACACTAATGGCCACCCTGGAGACAAAAATATGGCTGTTCCACGGAGCAGCCGAGTCTGGAAAACAATTCTCTGTTGCCGCATTTCCTGGCTGTGATGTTCGAACACTACTCTTGCTTCTTCCCAAACAAGAACATGGGAGCTTAGGCCTGAAGGACCACGTGATTAAGTGCACAGGGAAATTTACCAGCTCCTTAGCTTCTGCCAGAAGATCTTCAACATCTGAGAAGCTGAAGCTAGCCACAGTGATGAACTGGCTGACAACGGACACAAACTTGTCTCCAGGCTGTGGGGGCTGAGACTTCTGATATTCCAGCTCCTGGAACACAGAAAGCAGATGCTGATGGCGTAGTTTCATATGCACTCACACCTTGTCTCTTATTCCACAGAACCCTGGATAACTCAGATAGCAAACACATCTGAAAGACCTCATGTTACTCCACCTCTCCACCTTTCCCCTCTCCACACCAAGGCCATGCCTGTGTGCACAGACATATCTGAAAACAGCTACTTAATTTTCTGAGTATTTTACCAGGGTGATTTCTTACTCTGACTTTAGAAGCAAGTTAACATTTAGTTCAAAGCAATGAACCCAAACAAACAATAGGAGCACATTGGATTCAAAGTATTTATGAGGGAAAAGCTGAACCTGCTGGTTGATGCTCTGGTGCAGAATTGTGGTGTCTTGATTTTTCTCCCCCCCCTTCTTCTGCCATTTCTATTTACTTCCTAACCCATGGTATCTAGGTCAGCAGAGCTGCGGCTAGAGCACGTGGTAACATAACCGCCCTTCCCTTCTTGTCCACAGCAATAGGTTTTGGTGAATGGATAGGTAGGAAATGAATCTTTTGTCAAGTTTCCATTTTCTCCACTACCACATAGATGACTGAAGTCAAATTTCAGTAGTGAAGTCCAGCCATTTTGAAACACATATTCTTAACAGTTTCAGTACCCCAGCATCATTGTCTCCATGGCACAGTCACACAGAGCTTAGAGGAATTTAATTCTCTGCTCCAAGTCAAGGAGCTGATCAATGGCAGAGGCAGAGTTTGAGCTCAGTCTTCCTGCTCCAGTCTTGGCGATTACTGTGCTAAGTGCACCTGACTGGCTGACAGTCACAAGTCTTTCCTGTCCCCTCTTTGGCAAACCCTGCTGAGCAGGAGTGTAGTGCTCAAGGGTTAAAGGTTCTGACTCAGACTACTGATGACATGTCCTTAGTGGCAGACTGCTCTGGACCTCAGTGCCTTCCATTCTGAGAGGACAATATCCATATGACTATGAAAAATCAAATGAAATGACAAGAAAAAGAAAACATAATTAAGCCAGCTCTGAAAGGAAGACATCACCACGGTTTTAGTACCTTGGTCTAGAAGTGTGTGTGTGTGTGTGTGTGTGTGTGTGTGTGTGTGTGTGTGTGTCTGTGCTGGTGCAGGGATGGTGAACCATCTTAAAGGGTGTAATTATCCAATCACTATATCCAGATTTATCTCCGATACTTCACACGGCATCACTGACTTGGACAAAGCATAATTAGAACACACAAATATTTGGGTGAGTTAAGCTCTGTTGCCTCCCAATATGTCCAGTTATAGCTAGATATTTCTGCTGCTAGGGTCAGAGAAAGGCTTCTGCCCTAGTTGGTGTTTTTGTTATCTTGATACAAGCTAGGGTCATTTAGGAAAAGGGCATCACAACTGAGAAAATGCTCCAACTACATTGGCCTGTAGATATATTTTTAGGGTATCTTCTTGACTAATGATTAAAATGAGAGGGCCCAGCTCTTTGTGGGCTGTGCAATCCATAGGAGGTGATCCTGGGTGGTGTAAGAAAGCAGGCTGATCCAGTCATAAGTGGAAAGTCAGCAAGCATTATTCCCCATGGCCTTTGCTTCAGTTCCTGCTTTGAGTTCTTGCTCTGACTCTTGTTGCTGTTGTAATATGAAAGTGTAAATGAAATAACTCTTTCTTCCTCCCTAAGTAGCTTTTAGTCATGGTGTTAGCTACAGCAAAAAGAAACCTCAGCTTCTGCAGTCCCGTTCCTATTAAGAGCACGGTGCACCATGTGCCTGGCACCCAGGAGATGATGCAGCATAGTAGCCATGCTTTAGCAAGCAAAGCACATCCCTGGACCACCACCCTGACCTGGTGTTGGTCTGTGCTAACTCAGACACAGGGCTCAAGAGTATCCATTACCTGTCTTAGGGATGACACAACTGCCACTCATGTCTCAAGAAAGTCTATATGAAAAGGAAATGGTACCCACTTAAGTTTCTCAAGCAATCCTGGCCAAAAAATGCCCTGGGAAGGCTGGGCCTTCTGAGATCTGTGGAGGGATGTCCAGGTAGTCATAACATACTTCTTTTATCTCCCTTTAGTCTCCAAACCCTCAAAATCATGCTCCCAAATCTTAGCGGGGCAAAAAATTAAATTTTTATTAGTACTGTCTTCAGTGAATTCAATACAGTCTAGGGTATAGTTTGTGATTAAAACAAGAGAAACGGGGGTGCCATGGCATTTAGTGATAGATGACCTGTAAGGTATTTAAGAGAATCAGTAACCCCACCCAGTACAGACACAGCCAACCAGGCGGGGCTGTGATAGGTGGCTCTCATCCCTGGCCTGGCTCCCTGGGGCTGCATTCATGTAGCACTCCTGGTGCTGTCCTGCACAGCTGTGCCACATTCTCCCAAGTCCCCGGGTCTTCTGACACATTCCTGTGGCTCCCTTTTATCTGCCCTATCTGGGCAGTGCCCTCCTGTGTGCCTTTTACACCATCCTGCTTCTAAGCCGTGGCTGTTGTTCATCTCCAGCAGGAGCACTTCCTGCAGAACGTCAGTCAGTCTCGGGCCTCCATCCAGCCCTTTCACCACGCTCCTCTTTATCACTACACTTATCTAGACAGGGTCCTGCCGAGGGAGCTGGAGCTCTCGGCCCTGCAGCATTAGAAGGCAGGGACTCCGGGTCACCATGACCTTGTGCCATGACAGTATGGCCAAGGGCCTGCTCAAAAGTAACAGAAGTTGCATCAGTCTTCAGAAAGTTAAACATCTAACAGTAATAGAACATGTAAATCAAGAGGGTCCTTGAAGATTGCCTCACCTGGGCCTCTCATTCTAAAGAATCCTACCTCCCTGGTGAACTGGTGAATCCCCAGGCCCACTTCCAGCTCCCACTGCAGTGAGTCCCTCAGGACATTTGGCTGCATGGAACTGAGTTGTCATACTTGTGTCTGCTACGTGGTGGTCATTCTGTCTTATGGAATCATGTTTACCCTGGACAGAGCACTTGCCCAGGGTGCGTGCTCAAGGTCAGCACACCAGCAGAACAGAGGAGAGACTGGCGGTTGCCAGGGAAGCAGGTACTCACCATCTCTACCGCTTTCAGGCCGCCTCTCAAGGTGCTTATCTCTTTGTCCAGCTCAGTCATGCTGTTGGAAAGAGCAACATCTTAGCAGTCAGCACGAAGATTACAGGAGTAACACACCAGGGCTTGAGACAGCTGATGCTTAGACAGAGAGAGAGAGAGAGAGAGAGAGAGAGAGAGAGAGAGAGAGAGAGAGAGAGAGAGAGTGTGTGTGTGTGTGTGTGTGTGTGTGTAATCCAGAGCCAGTGAGATGGCTCAGTGGATAAAGGGGCTTGCTGCCAAGCTTGACAACTTCAGTTCACTCCTCAGGACCCACATGATGGAAGGGGAGAACAGACTCCATAGTTGTTATGACTTCCAAAGACTTGTCATGGCACATGCTTGTATACACACACACACACACACACACACACACACACACACAATGATAAAAAGATTCCTCCCTTTTACTCTCAGAACCCACAAAGGTTACAGCATTTAAAAAGAATATGGAACTTACATGCAGAATTTTTTTGTACATTTTTATCTTCCTCAGCCAGGAAGTATATCTTACAGGTTAAAAATAGAAGAAAAATGTTCCCATGTGTACAAAAATATTTGATGTTCGAATCACAAACCCTCTGCTTCAGCACATTGCTGTATGAAGGAATGAGCACCTGCCACACTCTCTCAGACAGTGGCTCCCTGGAACCCCACACAGTCCGCATGCTGTTGCTGCTCACCACGGGGCAGCACTGACTGCGGACAGCACTTAGCCTCAAGCAGCAGGCGTTTTTCTGAGAATTGTCCTGGTCACTTTTCATTTTCATTGCCTTCTTTGTTTTTTAGTGGAGACTCTATTTTACAGCTTTTAAGCATTAAAGATTAATTCCTACCATACCAAGGCCCTCACCAATACTTGATTCACTCTAATAGACTGGTTTCTTATGTTACCTACTATATTTGCTACCAAGTTCTACAGAGTGAGATAATTAGCCTAGTTATTCTAGGTTGTAAATTCACTGCAAAAGGCACAGCTTAAGTATATGTCTATCAAGGGGTGGGGGGTGTGTGGTGGCAGCAAGGAAAGCTGCCTGATTCCATCTCTGAAACAGCACAAGATTTGTGGGGAAAGTCTGGCGACTTTCCATTTTATTTTTAGTCCCTCGATTTGCATAAAGACTGCTTTCCATTAAACAGTTGCTTGGTTCCAAGGAGTGTGTGTATCTGTGAAAATGACTGGCAGCTCCCTCACATGGAAGCTTCTATTTGCTCCACCATGTGTCCTCTTTACCTCAGGGTTACCAGTGTTTAATAGAGCAGTTGCTCAAAAGCCTTGGTGAGACTGAACCTTTGGCCTCACGTTAGGCAAGTGTTCTGCACTTGGCAACATCCTCAGCCTTTATTTAATTGTGTTGAGCCAGTTTCCCTCAGTTGTCCAGGCCAGTCGTGACCTCACTTTGTAGCCCAGGCAGGTACTGAGTTTGCAACCCTCCTGTCTCTGTTTTCTGGGCCAGAGATGCTGGGATTACAGGCCTGTGCCAGCAGGCCTGGCTGCTTATGCTCTGGCTACCAAGAAAAGCAGGCTTTATATGATGGGGTGGTGAGTATTCCAAAGGACCTAGAACGAATATACATCCTTTAACACATTTGAATAGTTTGGGTGTGATTCAAGCTTTCTTTCATACAGTGTTCAGAGGGAAGGGAAGAGAGGGACCACTTCACGCATTTGCACTTTGGTGCGGTGCCAGCTAAGAGTCCCACGCCGCACAGACAAGCTGGTAAAAGGAAAGCTGTCAGCATACTCACTTGACTTTTGCTGCTTGAGGAATATCCCGCAATTCTTCATGTAAATGGAGGACTTTGGGGTACTTATTCTCCACAATAGTTATTAGATAGTGCAAAAGGGTAATGTTCCTAAAATTAAAGAAAAGGAGAACACTCAACATGATTAATCTGCATATGATTTATATACTCAAGGGGCAGGAACCAAAATACATTAAGAATTGGTAGAGTGGCCTAAGAACAGTTGTTTAACCCATTAAGGAGAGCAGTTGATTAGAAGCCTAAAGGTACTTTGCAAGTTGAGAAGAACTCACTGTTGTAGTCATTGGTTATGTTCTCTTAAGGTTTCATCTGAAGGTGGTTGGACAGAAAGGCCCTATTTCAGAGCCGCTGCTGGAAGCTGACTGTAACTGTGCCATTACACATATAATGTCCTTGCAGCTGTGAAATCAATTCTAATTTTAGCAGTTCTTCAGTTCTTAATTGCATGACCCTTAGTAGTTATAACAGCTGTTGGTGCCATTTCCCTGTCTGGTGATGACAAGGTTGAACCTTGACTGACCTGGGCTGGGAAGGGGGGTGTCTGATAATGCTATCGGGCAAAGCTGTGTTAGTCTGGTCCTGCTGTCACCAGTCCTACTGCACATTACAGTCACCTGGACTCCAGATGCCTGGGCCAACACCAGACATCCATATAATTGGGATGAGGTGGGGCCAGGTATGGATATTTATTAATTTTCCCTGGTTAGTCTAATTCAGATGAAGAACTACTAGTCTACCAAAGTTGTTATAGTTAGGAGTATACAAATCCCATTTTAGCAACATTTCCATCATTAGACAGTTTGCTAATTTACAAGGCTAAGCAACAATCTCCCATGCCACCTAGATCAAACTGAATCAGAGCTGCATAATGTAAAGCATTTCTAGTATCCTGTGGCTTTACCCAGACAATACAATCCTATTCCCAAGTCAAGGGTTCGAATAGGTTCTTTTCTTTAGCTTTGGTTCTATCAATAATTAGGAAATAATTTCTACCTAAGCAAATAGTGGCCAGTATTCTGGCACCTCAAGTTTCTGTGAGCTTGTTACATCTTATTATTCAAGGATTGCCATTCCTAGAATCTACCTGTTTACCCTGGACTTCTCTCCCAAGGGGTGGGAATGGAAACAAAATGCCAACAACTATCACAAGAATGCTATTTTTCTTCAGTATTTTATATATGCTTTTCTTTAGCTAGAGAAATTTCCATTAGCTTAATTGGACTGTATGTGTTTTTAAGAATTAAACCCAGGCTAGGCTTCCACATTTCTTGTTATCCATATAATACGTCATTTACCCAGAACAACTTCTTGAAGAATGAACAATTGCACCACCACACATTAGACTAGTCCTGGTGGCTATTGAGTCAGTTCTCTGGTGCTGATTTCACCATCACTTACATACTTTGACTGATTCAACTGTATACTCTGATTCAAGTGAATGATCAGCTGCTCACTGGTCAACCACTCCACCAGGCAACTGTGGCATTATACGTACTGGTGCTACATTTGGGGAGCGCCTTCAGAAGCAGACAGAAGAGGAAAGAGATAGAAATAGTTTTTATTCTTTTGAAAGAGTCTGTACACATAAATTCTATAGTCATTTTGATAAGCAGATGACCACATGAGTCAAGTCATCAGAAAGTGTGGGGATGGTGGACTTTGCATGTGTTTGTGTGCATGTATCAAAGCAAGCAGTTGAAGAGATGGTTCTTTCAAAGACAGTTTTCTTTATATGCAAGTAAGATGCTGCATGCAGGTCCCTATTACAACCCACAAACAAGACCCATCTATGGGCAAAGAGCAGCACCATGGACTGACCTGCAGATCAGGGGTTAAATCCTTCTCCAGACAGCATGAGGAGGTAGTGAGGGGATTAAGCCACTTGACATTGCCTCAGTTTTCTTATCTGACAACATGTGGTAAGTAACTTGGCCTGTGTACTGACAAGCTATTGTGACAAATGTGAAAGTGCTCTGAAAAAGACTGGGGCACCCATTAAAATGAGGATGGCAGAGTATTATATAACACAACAGTACTTGTCACTCTGTCTCCGTGATGCAAAAATAACAGCTTAACACATGGCTTATTTCTTTTATCAAGGACTGAGGGCTGCTATATACCATGCTTCACTAACCCTATAGAAAACATAGGGTAAAAAGTCTCATTAGTGAGGAGTAATTAGGGAGAACAGTCCGTCATGCTAAAAGGGTTTGGCTCCAAGAAGCTTACCTTGGGAAGGACTGTGTGAGTTCCTTTGAAGCCAGTGAGAACCTCAGAGAAACACAGCTCTTGGAAAAATTAGAGTTAATGTGCGTGATGACCCTACCTGCTAAGGACACAGGAGCTGGCATCTCAATTCCTCTGACCAGACTGTTCACCTAAACTGCAGTGCTGTGCACTTCCTAGGACACATTTTAATGAGCTTTAGGCTGTGCAGCTGAAGATTAGCAGGCAAGTGTATTCATGTGGCTGTTAGCGCCAGCCTGAGACTAAAAGGCATATTCCTGGATGAGCTCAGTTTTCTCCTTTCTCTGAAACAGTTCTCTGTGGAGGGGTGGAGACTAGAGATGTCATGAGGCACCCAGAGCTGGAGGGCTGGCTTTTGGTTTGGGTTGTATAGAGGTCTGTCCAGATTTCTTTTTAGTATATGACACTGTACTTAAAAGTTTAAAAATTGTAATTTATTTATTTACTTATTCATATGTGTATGTGGGGTGTGTGTGTATGTGTGAGTGCTCACATATGAAATGGCATGTTTGTTGGGGTCAGAGGACCTTTTCCCATGTGGGCTCCAGGGACTGAACTCAGGTCCTCAGTCTTGGGACTAGCACCCTTACTATCACGCCAGTCCCATGAGTTATTTATTTATTCCTTTACTCATTTTAAAGGCAGTCAACAATAAAAAGCCTTGGAATAGATCAATGGTTTTTCAACCTCTGGGTTGCAACCCTTTTAGGGGTTGAACCACCCTTTCACAGGGGCCGCCTAAGACAGTAGGAAAACACAGATATTTACACTGTGATTCATAACAGTAGCAAAATTATAGTTATGAAATAGCAACAAAAGCGATTTTATGGTTGGGGTCACTGCAATGAGGACCTGTACTAAAGGGCTGCAGCATTAGGAAGGCCGAGAACCATGGGACAGATAGTGTTTCTACACACTGTTAATGGATGCAGCACCCATGGGAACTTGAGGGCTGCCACTGTTTGTGAGAGAAATGGGAGGGGAATGAAAGAGCAGGAGTGTACCCTGAAAGCCCCAGGACTGTAGTGTCCAGGTGGGTGCTATAAAAGTCGCGTTCTATAAGATACCTACATGCTCCAAGTGCTGGAGGGTCACACACTTACTTGTCAATACTGGATTTTGTGTCGGCGATCTTGTTGAGGCTGGAGATCTTGAATCCATAGGCATTGCCTCTTTGTCCTTTATTCATATAGTTTCCAAAAGCCAAAACAACCTCTAGGAGCTGCTTGAGGGCGCTGCTTCTGAACACCTCCTCCGAGCCAGAACGAATCGCTTCAGAGTAGAACACAGAAGCACAATGGTTACAGCCAAGGCTTTCAGTTATGCCTGCCCTGAATCCACACATCCTTACAGACACAGACGATATCAGAGTGTGCCCCTGGTCTGTGACTGAGAGCTTTCCAGACATGCAAATTAGAAGCACAGTTAACAGCTAACATGCAAGAGATCCCACAGAGAATGGCAGAATTCCTCTCCTTTCTCAGCCCTTCACAGGACTGAATCACTAGTCTTAAGCATTTGGAAATGGAATACACAGCATATAATTCTATTTCCAGCATTCCTTTGCAAAACTCCCTAGCCTCATGTGAGTCAGATCAGTGAGTGAGTCAATTCTTTTGATAGAGAACTGGTCATCTGCTACATAGATGGCTTGAAGGTATTACAACAGGGCTGGGAGTTCAGACTCTGATTCTGCTGCACATTCTGTAACTATGCTCTTCAATACCATCCACATTGCAAACATCTGTAAACACAACAGCCTAAAAATCTACCCTTAGAAAATCCTAGTAAGGCACTGCTATGAGAACGATAATTATAGGTTCAATACTAGGAGCGGCAAATTTATCCCTTAGCCACATTCATGCGGTCAAAACCCCAGTCCCTTCGAGAAGTTCAGGGGGGTGTGCAGCAGCAGCTCCAGGGCCCAGGCCAGGCCAGAGTGTGCAAGATGTAGACCTTATATGACCACCCACTGGAATTTCAAAAGATTTCCAGCTAAACATCACCAAAGCAATTGTTTACTTTGCGCACTTGGCTCAAAGTTGTACACGGGCACTTAAGACAAACATTATTTCTTGCTGTGTGGCTTGATTTTACCTTCCACTTTAGGCTTCACTTCTGCCACACGTTCTGCAAACTTCTTCTTGAAGTACAATGACTGCAGTCTTTGCTGGTAATGATTAATCCTGTAAGAGCGAAGTGGCTTGATTAACACTCGAGATGAGAGCCCATTTCTCTAGAATCTGCATGGGCGGCTGCGTGGGACCCTTCACTTCAAACTTCGCTCACAGTACCCAGAGCTCTTGTGAAAACAGAAGAGATGAAAAGGAATAAAAATGTAGACTCTTCACTCTCCCCTACTTCTCTCAAGTCTCTTAACCTTCCATGAAGTTTGGCCTTTGGCAAGGCTACAAAGACTTGTGTCTGTCATACACTCTTCATACCCACTTCCAAACCTTTTTGCCTTGCCATCAGCTCATTAAGCTAGTCTCCTGAAGGAAGGCAAACTTAGCCTTCCACATAGCACCTAGAGGGAACAGGGAACCTACTGGCCTCTGATCTGCACCTAAGCTACAAGATTCTTGTTGCTGGTAGTGGGGGCTCATGAAGCTTCTGAAACACACGCTTAACTGGATCATGATAGAAGTTTCAGAATAGAAGGTCCAGAGATCAGCACCTTCTCTAAAACCATTTGGGGATACAGATCCCCAAACAGACCTAGGCTTGCAGACCAGACATGTCTCTTATTAGGTGACCTTGAGTAAGGCCTATCTGACTCTTCTTTTCCCTATGGGTAGATGAAGAGAAAACTGCTTTCCTGGAAGCCCCTATAGGTAGGACTGCTAGGAAGGTTACATGAAAAAACACTTGTAAAGATCTGGGCATGTTTGAGAAGTTACTTCTGCTGGTTACTAGAGGGCTGCAGGGAGTAGCTTCAAAATACCAAAGTTATCTTTGTTCAACAGTAGTCTCCAAAATGGCAAGTTATGAGGGAATAACACAGAAGTAAATCTGGCCACAGCAGGAATGGAGAATGAGAGACAGGCTGCTGGCAAACAGACAAAGGGCTCTGCCCCGAGGGCTACTGGATTTCAAGGCACTGAGCCTTCTCTAGCATGGATGGAGTCAGTTCACTAGACCTGGAATGGCAAAGAGAATAATCTCATACACCAAACCCAATCACAGAGCAGTGGCTGCCCCAGGGGCTTTCTGGAAAAGGGCTCAGAAAGCTTGCTGAGGCCCCATGGGAAGAGGGCTGGGACTGATTAGTGATGCTTGCCTGTGTCTTATTCACTGTGGAAGCCCAAGGTTGGCACTGTCAGAGCCTGTCATCTCTCTCCCTCTAATTTTACAACAAACCTGAGATGTCAAGGTACTAGGATGCTGAGCTATTATCCTAAGACATCAAAGTGTGAGAAACGACTCAGGGACATTGTAGCACAATAAAGCCAGAGCACATGGGCCCAAGAGGCCCCCAAGGACAGCTGTAAGGTGCCTGGACACTGGCTCACCCAGGGCAAGAACTCCCCTACAGGCAAAGAACACATTCCATACAGCTCCAGTTTGGAAAGGGGTGACTGACCCAAGCCGTTTATCTTGAACCAAAATTTAACTTCCTTACTAAGGTAAAGGGTGTCTTTCATTTCCAGTGTTTTCCATCTCACCTGCTCATCTCAAACAGGAAGCGATCAGCCTTGGCCATCCGATCCAGCTCGTGTTTATGTTCCTCTAGCAGGTCAATGTCACTTTTCTCAGGAACAAACTTCAAAAGCTAAAAGTGCATGCAGGTATTAAGGTAAAAGTTACAAAAAAAACCTCTTGGCAGTAGGTTTTTAACCTTTCAGCTAATTTGCTACAAGATGAAATTTTAATACTTTCTTAGGTTACAAGCCCTGCTAACTGGCAATCAAGACATAAGGAATGGCTATTTACATGTTGATTTGAGAGCAGCTTTAAATTGGCCTGAAAGTCATTTTCTATTTTCTAGTACCTTTCAAATTAGAACTGTTGGCATTTCTCACCAGGACCTACTTTGCTTGGATGCTTAGCAGGGCCCTAGAGAGTCAATCCTCTCATTAGAAGGCCATAAAACTGACAATGCAGAGAGATTCAGCCCTTAGTCTGCATTACAGAGCAAGTATACATAATTGTCAGAACAGAACCCAGGTCTCTGATGCTCAGAGTTCTATGCATTTTTTTTCCTGTTACACCATGGTGGAATGAATAATTACACTTGTGATTTTCATTCAGCTTGCTTATTTTTTGTTTTCTCTAACTCCACCTTCTTTATTGTTTCATGTACAGTTTCAGTGAGAGAAACAGTGGGGATATCATATTTTTATTTCAGATTTTATTTTGGAGGATGAGAATGAAAAATGGAAGAAATAGCAACAATATGAGAGTTGAAAAAGTTACTTTCCTATATGTCTGACTGCCATTCCATTCAAAACACACACATCTGAACATGTTTGTGGCTGTATATGCATGCTATTTTCTGGAACAAATGCTCTCCTCAAATCAAAATGAAGACCCTCTTGATATGACTTGAGTGACTCATTTGGTAGGTTTTCAGATGTGAGTTGGAATTAATAAAAGATCTAGGAGCTGTGGGCAGAAAAAGAGAATTGGAACTACAGAGGAGAAGGCACTGCTGGGAGGGGTACCCGATTAAGAGTATGTTCAGGGCTGGAGACAACCCTGGAGACAACTCAAGGGATAAGAACAAGAGTTAGAGGAGCCTGTAAAGGAGGCGGCCGAGGTTCAGTTGGAGAAGTTATGTGGCATTGCATGGCCATGGCAGTGTTTCACTATGGAGCAAGTGGCATTCATGTCAGAAATCACCAAGAAACCAAGAAAGATGAGAGCTGCCAAGTGTCCTCTGACTGGGTGACAGGGAAGCTGTGATGTCCTCGCAATCAGTTTTAGGGAGGAGAAGAAGACAGACAACAGTGGGCTGAGTAAACAGAAGGAGAGTATGGACTGGATTTCAAGAACTTACTACTATACCAGGAAGAGAGAGGCAGTAACCCTGAGAGTACGCTCCCTAAAGATGGAGACATGGCCTGCGGAGAGCTGAGAGGGTGACGTTGAGACTGAGGGGAGGGGCAGCCAATCCAGACGGGCTCCTGGCTAGAAGGGACGGATGTGCCAGGGTATTAGGAAGGGCAGCTCCCTTGGCCTACCAGCATAGAAGGGAAGACAAATGAAAGCAGATGCCAGGTGTTTCTAGGCATTTCTGTTCCCAGGTTCAAATGCTGACACTGAACAGGACATAGCTTGTTCTTCCTCTGCATAGGGAAGGTTGTAAGGCAAGGAGAAGGTGAAGAGGTGCCCCTTGCCCCACTGCTTTGGAGTTTTGTCTTCTGAGCTAGGGAACTCATGTCTAGTCTCAGACATCCTCTCTCTCATTTCCCAGGCTCCCAGCTGGTCTGTGATCAGGAAAGCACCACTGCTCTGTGTCCTCTGTGACGTCCAAGAGCACAGTGGGAAGTCTTAGCCCCTTCCCAAGCAGTGGCGAGTGACACTGTGTGGGGGTCATTTTCCAGGAAATGGAGCTAGGAAAGCACCTGGGAACAGGAAAGATACATTCCGAGGAAGAGGGCTCACTGACCTCAGCCATGGTCTGAGCATAGCAGCCAACAGCGGCACGCAGCATGGAATGCACGTGGCCTCATGCAGGCCCCATGCAAAGGTACGGAGATGCTGGGCAGACATCTGACTTGCAGAGAGGCACGTGGGAGACCAGGCAGAAGGACATTACAACGAGGAGGGAAAGACAGGGCGTGGGAGAGGAGCAGAGAGCAAGAAGCTCACAGAATTATCAGGAGAGGCCAGGTCAAAAATGTCCTTGGCCAGATGCTGCATCAGTGGACAGACTGTCTTCCTTGTTTATTTGGAGTGTGTCTTATTTGCACTGCAAGCTCTTTTGGCAGGGCTTTGCAATCCTTTCCCTCAAGGAGGAATTTTGCTGGATGCAGTTTCAGGATAAACAGATCCTGTAGAATTTTAAGCATATGGTCTTGTCAATGGAGGCTAAGGGCAGAAGGACCAAAGTAGCTTTGCACACAGTTCTTCACTCCTGGTGGTGACTTGAAGGTGGGGTCACCTGGAAGCTGGGGCAGCTGTATAGTGAGAGAAGGGAGAGCAGGGATGTGGAAACACCCCTGAAAGTGTGTGTGTCGGGGGTGTCTTTAAACTGTGCATTCACAGAGAATCATGGGAGACATGAGGAAAGAGTCATTAACTGTCTTAAAAATTAAATCAAAAATTTAAATAGCAGCTTGATAAGTTGTTCTGATGCCAAGTGTGAGGGCCTTACTCAGGACAACTTTAGCTGCAGTTCTATCCTGTTCTGAGTCTCTGGCCTTCTGGAATTTCAGTGGGAGCTATCAAAATACACACAGAGAGGGACAACCTATGAAGAGTGGCCTTACCACAAGATGCCCCTTTCTGTACTTTCAGAGCTGAGTGTGCACGCAGTTGCCATGTTCAGCCTGGAGTCATGGTTGCTGGTACCTACAAGTGACCTTCAGTGGACCTGACTCTGACAAAAACAGACCTTAGACCCAATCACTCAAAATCCAATTGTGCCCCAAGGATGAGAGGCAGAAAGGAAGAATATCCTTACAGCTATTGATCACCACAAAGCTCAGAAAACTTCACGTCCCAAGGGACCAGGGGACAGAGACAGGTAAAAATTCTTGGAATATGTACTGGTCAGACACATGTGATATAGTCAGAGTGGCTAAGCATAAGTGCTATAGAATGAGTTACCCATTAGACTGGGTAAGGTTTATTTAGAGATACTGATGTGAGGTACTTATGTGTAATTCCCATGGGCTAGCTCTGGAGTTGTGATTACTGCTATTTATGACACAAGATGCCATACAGGAACAGAGACATGATTTAGCTCCAGGGAACAACTCAGTCCCCATAGGACAGGTATGACTGTGGAGAACAGGTGTGACTGTGTAGGACAGGTGTGACTGTGTAGAACAGGTATGATTGTATACAACAGGTATGACTGTGTAGAACAGGTATGATTGTATACAACAGGTATGACTGTGTAGGACAGGTGTGACTGTGTAGAACAGGTGTGATTGTATACAACAGGTATGACTGTGTAGGACAGGTGTGACTGTGTAGAACAGGTGTGATTGTATACAACAGGTATGACTGTGTAGGACAGGTGTGACTATGTAGAACAGGTGTGATTGTATACAACAGGTATGACTGTGTAGGACAGGAGTGACTGTGGAGAACAGGTATGACTGTGTAGGACAGGAGTGACTGTATACAACAGGTATGACTGTGTAGGACAGGTGGCTATTCGAGGCATTTAGTGAAGGTTTTTGTGGTTGTGGAAATGATGAGCCAAAATACAAATTTAGTGATTAAGAGTTTGCAGACTAGTTTTTGACCTCAAAGTACCTGTGAGCTCTCCAACATTCCTGTGAAACACATTTTCCTACTAATCCCCGCAGATTTTTATGAGATATTAAGACAATAACTTAACTGGAGTTTAAGGGACAGACATCGTGGGATCCAGGCATTTGGCAGAGTTGCTTTATATTTATTTTTGAGAGAGAAGCAGAGAGAGCAGGGAGGGGGAGAAAGAGAGCACACATGAAAGTCATGTGATGTGTCTTCAGACACCAGAAAAGGGTGTTGGATTTCCTTGAGCTAGACTTACAGGTGATTGTGACATAGTCACTCTACATGGGTGCTGGGAACTGAACTCGGGTTCTTTAGAAAAGCAGCAAGTGCTCTTTATCCCTAAGCTATCTCTCTATCTGCATTTTACAAACTGTGAGCTTCTCCTCTCAACAATTATTCTGAGGAACAATGCGAGAAAACAAAAGCCCTTTAAGTTAATGCATGGGGCCAGGCTTGATCCCTATTTTCTCATCTCATCTTTGAGATTCTCCCAGGATCCACTTGGCAGCTGATAGTACTGCTTAGGCTCTGAAAGCTGTCTGGCAGCTCACCTGTTCTAACATGTCCTTGGGCAGATCCTCCTGTTCATCCATTGTTAGAATCGCCCGCTTGATTTCATCATTGGATAATTTCAACCTAGAGAAAGCATATTTTATCTTGTTAATAACATTGCTAAGATTGTTACAATTTAATACAAGACAACTCACTCCACTACACCAGCTGCTGATTTTCAAGTATGGTTTTTCTCAAAATCTCAGCCAAGGCTTATTTCCTGACAACAGAGGGAACTAAAAATAGGATTTTGAAACAGCTTAAACATTCTTTCAGGGCTCTGTAATGTTCTGCTGACATGGGGACAAGCTGCCATATTCTATCATTAGTTTCCTTAAGGAAGGTTGGAGATGAGAAAGTGGGCACATGGTCTTCTTACATTCAACATCCACAAATTGTGGGTGAGAGGAGAGAATTCAACCTCTGACATTACTGTATGTTAGGGGAGATCCAGGTGTGCTGCCAGACTTTGATACACTTGGAAACTATACATGTGGTTAAAGAGTTAAGTACATCAATAAAAAAATGACATACATGCTCATTTCATAGGTGAGGAATTTTCATATATTTAATTTCATTTAACTATGAAAGTAACTGTGACAGACTGGTTGTTTATTTTGTTTTAAATAGGTAAACAGCTTCAAATTGGCCAGTGATTTGCTCAAGGTCAAACACAGAAAGTGATGGTTATCAGTGGCCAGCGAAATGGCTCAGCAGGTAAAAAGCACCTCAACCTGCTGATCTGAATCAAACACTGGAGCTGGGTAAGCGGGAAGAGAGAACTGACTCCACAAAGTTGTCTTCTGACCTCGACAGACAGGTGTACCACAGTGTGTGCCATGTTCCAGATTAAATTACAAAGTGAAAGTGACCACTACATATCCACTTTACAACACAAACGCCACTCACCTATTTAGTATCTTACAGCAAAACATAAAACTGCTTTCTATTTTTGTCTGCCCATAAATTCAAATTATACTAATTGAATTATGAATTTGTATTTTAAGTCAGGATAAGAAACTACTCACCACAAAACACAACAGTTATGAAACTGAAACAAAGAGTGCTTTTACTCCATGTAAGAATAGTCATAACTGGGCAAATATTCTTAATCATACTCTCAGATGTAACACCAGAATGTAGAATTGTTTGTTCTACCTGTACACATACCAGCCACATGACTTTCCCCTCCAACCTAACACATACAGAGAGAGAATGTGGGGGTACTTGGTGAAACAATCCATGTAAGGCTCTTGGTAGAGTTTCTGGACACAACAGGGGCCCAATGTCTACTCTACAAGGGAGACCTCTGTACAGGAAAAGTGCAAAAAAAAAAAAGTGTCAGTTATGTAACTTTAACATGCTATGAGTAGATCATTTAAATAGTACTCAGTGTGGTCACTGTCACTTCCCAAAGCATTCCTATCTACATTATTTCACCCAAGTTTCATCTCTGTACATGACAGAACCAGGCCCAGGAGAACTGAAAAAGAACCGGAAGACAATGGCCTTATCTCCAAGGTGGCTATAATTTTTGGGAGGGTTACATCTCAGCAACAACCTGCAAGTCTGAGTGAATGGGTGGAGGATTCCAAGGTGGTAGAAGGATACAGACCCTTTCCTAGTTAGAGCCACCCACTCCGCCACGCTACCTACATTTGCTGCATGCACCAATGAGCAGTAGAGCAGAAACAGATTTGGGATGCTACTGCTCAAACAGCATTGTCTTCCAGTTCATGTTCTAAATCTAAATACACTAGCTAGGCAAAAATACCAAACTGTCACTTGATAAACACAATCCACCTTGCCCCCCATCTGGGCTATGGTGCCATCTTCACCCCTGTGCTGAATCCACACGGGTCGGCCCTGGCAGGATCAGCCTGTGTCAGTCAATCCCGGGACAATTGCTGCCTCACAAGCATGTTCACCACAACACAGCAGAAAACCCACATCAGTAAAGTGGAACAATTTAGGTAAGTTGGCCTGGGTGAAGAAGACAAAGGAAAAACTGTAGCAGCACCAGATCTTCATTGTGAAGGTCTTGGGTAGCCCTGGATCTTAACATTAGGCTCTTGAATAAATTTAAGTGCTGGTACCATAGTGTGGCCACACAAGGCAAAAAACAAACAAACAAACAAAAAAGGACAATAACTCAAGACCAAAATTGCCACTAATAAAAACCAGCCAGCTTGGAGAAACGTATAGTCACCACCAGAAGAGCCTGGCTTGTTATTACCACATTACTTTATCACTGGATTTGTGCATGTATGTGTGGAAGTCAGAGGACAACTGTAGGGAACTGTTTCTGCCTTCACCATGTGTACCCTTGCGGTTGAATGCTAATTCTTAGGCATGGTAGCAAGTACTTTACCACTAAGACATCTCATGGGGCCCCACATTCTGCTCATAAGTTAAAACTAAATGAGCTCTGTGTCTTTTCACACCAGGCTGAAGAAATTATTTTGAGCCTTTTTGCTTTGCACTTCAAAATGAATGGGTTGAAAGCAGAGTGAGAGCAGCAGTCAAAGCACTGGGTTTGAATTTCACTAGCTACTCTGATGGAGTGTGGAGCTGCTTGCCTTTGAAATTGTATATATTTATGCTCCTCAGCTTCCAAAGGTTGGCTGAACTCAACTTTCTCTTAATACGGCTCATAGAGAGACAGGAGACTTTAATGAACAGTACTTAAGAAAATTTACCTGTTAACAGAACACCGTGCACGTGGCCTGCTGGATCAGACAAAGAAACCCTACCTCAGGAGTAGGGGTGCGGGAAGAGGGAGTCCCTGCCTTCCAGTATGTTTCTACAGCCTTCATAGTTCTCGGTGTCATCTGTCACCCTCAGAATGAGCCTTTAATCTCTGTAATTTAAGGACTCCATTTTTCTAGTCCTTTCATTGCTCTTAGAGCTCAGCAGTGCTCTTGGCATGCTGCACGGTGACAACTTTTGGAGACGTCTACTTTCACTGTCCTTTCAAGACAGGAAATAAGCCAGCCACCTTAAAATAGTATTTAACTCCAGCTTGCTCTCCTCAGGTATTTAAAAACTTTGTTCGGGGAACGGGAACATTTAGCGATAATTAGAACAAGCCAGGGTTGGAAGGCTAGACCACTCTCAGCTCTGCTTCAGTGGGTTTAAGCCAGATCCTCCTACTTACTAAAGTAACTTTTTGTGGTTCATGACACCCAGGTTGCCATGTCAAGAGAGGAACTGGAAATTGGGAAGAGGTCATTTTGCAATATAGACCTGCCTCTGAGTTTCTTTTTTTCCCCCTGGCGTGGGTGGGGAGGTCTGTTTTGTTGATTAAAGCTGCTACACATTACCTATATACACACAGTAGAGAAGCTGTTTATGTCACTGAAGGTATAAAATAAAAAAAACTAATTAAACAAGACTTTAATACATAAACAGATAGGAGGCAAGTTATTAATGGCTTCTTATTCTGAGGTACATCATGGCTGCTCCACTCTCCTAACTGGTGACAGGTAGGGCACTGCTGTCCCATTTAACTGCTTCTCTTCCTTCTGCTCTTAAGAGCTTCAAGTGACCTTGGTCACGCAAGCTGTAAATACCTACTTACCAAGCACAACACAGGAGTCACCTGCTTTGGGCTCTAAGCCAGGTGGTAGCAGGCTCCCTTACCTAAGTTTTGTAGCATATAAGGAAGCTATAAAGGATATCCAAACACTGTGGGCAAATACTTGAAAATGCAGCACATGGAACAAGGCAGAGCCTTTCATTGTTGTAGATGTTGGTGTAATGATCGTTGAGAAATAATCCCCATCAGCAAGAGAATAGATGAGTGGCAGGCTTCAAAATTAAAACAAGCAGGAAGGAAAGATACTGTATGTGTAGAAAGGTAAGGAATCTTAATATAATCTTAGAGGATTTCGGACTTTTCTCCCTAAACACAAAATGAAATGTCAACTCCCATCAAAGGTTTCTCCATCTTTGTCAATTCTGCCTCCTGACAGTCTCACCTAGACAACAGAAAGAGAATCCTGTCTGATGTTTCCCCTATAACCAGCGTTTGATCCCTTCCACCTTATACTGTAAACCAAGCAAGCTTAAAACCACATTAAAACAAACACACACTGCTCTCCTTGGGACCAAACCCATCCTGAACGCCATGATACATAGCTGGCTATTACCCAAGTAGTGCCCACAGGGGCTTCATGCACGTGAGGCATAACTACAATGGCCACGATCTCCACTTTATAGAACAGGGGTTATGACTTGATTCTGAGCTGACTTGTGGCCTAGAAGGTCTAAGACATGAACCTTAGCTATCCTGCTAGGCTTCACTGATCATAACTGCGACTCCTCTGCTCTCCTTTTATTAGCAGGGCTTGCTTTACTAGTCTAGAGCTTCGACTGTTTAGAGCCCCCCCATCTCTGGTACACACACTCTGAGGCACACTTTGTGTTGTAAGCCCTGCTCCAGTGCTTCTCATCTGACTGTGCTCTTCGTGTCCTTCAGTTGAGATCAGCGCAGGCCCTGAATTACATGTCTTCTTACCAGCAGCATTTTCCCTCTCTAATCAGCCTTGAGCTTTCAAAGGTTAGCAGCAACATTTAGCTTGCATTCTTCACTGTGACAAACTACCTGTGGAAAAGGCAGAGGAAGGAGGAGGGACACGTTGGCTCAGATAGCCCTGTCAGTATGGGCCTACTGTGAGGCAGAGCATCATGGTGGAGAAGGCACGGCTAAGCAAAGGGCTTCTGTCAGGATAGGCTTGGGAGGGAATATCCTTCAAAGATGCACCCCAGTGACTTCTGTCAGGATAGGCTTGGGAGGGAATGCCCTTCACAGATGCACCCCAGTGACTTCGTTCCTCCAAATAGGGTCTACTCCATAGTTTACTCTCCTATAGTCTAACTATGAATTCATCAATAGATTAATCCACTGATGCGTTCAGAGCCCTCATGATCCAATCACTTTTAAAAGTCCCACCTCTGAGCTGGGCACTGGAGAATCAACTCTTCAGGACACGAACCTTCAGAGGACATAACTTCAAAACTATAATACCACCTTAAGTTCTGGTGTCTCCTATGGACCCAGCACAGTGGCGTGTGAGCAAATGCCCTAAAGTCCCACTGTCTTAAGAAAGAAGCACAGACATGCTCTCAGGCATGCCCACTGCTTAAGTCCCTAACTACTTTCTGTATATAATGATGCATTGCTAAGGAAAGAGAGAATAAAACCTAACTCACTAGAAAATGAAACAAAATACAAATTACAATGAAACCAGTTTAACTTCTTTTACTTTTACCTCAGCAAATATAACATCTTGGCCACATGTGAGAATGTGGGGTTTTAACAATTATTACCAAATAGAAAAGTGTGCACACTGACATTCCCTCAGGAGACAGGGTTTTAACCTAGTTAGTATGCAATCACTGACCGGGACTCAAAATATGTTGTTACCCTCATCACACCATTCTGTTGTGCTCATAATAAAAATCTACTAAGTAATTTCCAAACCTACTTAAGTAGGTTCCAGGCAAACTGTCTTGGCGGGGGTGGGAGGTGGGGAGGGTGGGGGGTGTTTTATGTTACTTTACCTTACCTCTGTGATGTTTGAGGTATCATGGATTTACATACCACAGATACAATATAGTTCCTTCAATAATGGAATGAGAAGTTAGCCAGAGAGAGTTGTAGCCTTATCTATAGCTATAGCTAGGATAATTATCTTGGCTGGCACTAAGCATGGGGCACACACTTTGTCTATGAGGAATGAGGTCTCACTTTGTACTAAGCATTTCAACACTATAGAAATTCAGAGTGATGTCTCTCTTTGTCAAGTTCTGTTGAAAGTGCTCCAAACAGCAAACACACAAGATACAGGCAGAGATACTCAGATCAAAGCAAAACAACGACAACAACTTGGGGCTGGGGAGATGACTCAGTAGTTAAGAGGACCAATGTTTGCTTCCCAGCACCCACACAGCACCTCACAACCACTCATAATCCCAGTTCAAGGGGATCTGACACCCTTTTCTGACATCCATGCATATATAGTACACAGACCTACATGCAGGCAAAAACAGTGAAACACATAAAATAAAGTAAAATAAATTCTCAAATCTTCACTTAATTTTCCAATCAGAAATGTTATTTGGGAAATGGTAACAAAATAAATGATATGCTGTATAGAGAAATGAAGCAGACCTTCAAGTGGTGCCTTCTTAAAGCAGATACGTCATCTAACCTAAGCCGGCTCATGGGGCCAAAGTGAGGATAAACACAGAGCCCTGCCATTATAGAGCTTCCAGCCAGCGCAGACATGAAATGGTAACAGGGTGGCTCATATTACCTTGCAAGCTGCACTAAACTTCAGGGATCTCATGAAGACTCAATTTCTCTTCCACTAAAGGAAACATTTGTTCCCTAAAGTCATACACACCCGGTCAACAAGCAGGCTTCTATGCTGAGGGCGAGCAGCGGCTCTTTGTGTTCAAACCCTCAGTGTATGGTCAACTAAGGAGCAGAACTACTTTTCCCTCAGCTCCCTCCAAGAGTCATCATGCCAGCCTGATGCACAGTAGCATTCTTCTCAGTCTGTAGCTCATCCTTTCAGCATCCTTCACACCTTCCCCACCCCTCAATAGCCTTAGTTATCTTGGCCTAACTACAACCAAAAGGCAACTAGAAATCTGGAATGATCTAACAACATTGCCTGAGGTTACAATCACAACTCAGGCTCCCAATTTCCCTTTTATCACTTCAAGCTCTAAGATCTTAAAATTTTTAAGTTACAAGAGAGATTTCTGAACATGCCTGAATTGGCTAAGTTAACATCTCACTGAGATTTGAGAGTTACATATCTTTATAAAATAAAAACACTCAGAGAATGACCTTAAGTGAGGTTGAAATATAAAAAGGTGACATTAGAAAGCAAAACAGAGAAGCATCAGCTCCTGACTCTGCGACAGTGCGACTCAAGGACTAAACTGCCTCCATAACCAGGGAATCTCAAGATACGTCAGTTCACTTCTTAGGCTCTGGAAAGGAAACACTAAGGTTGGCATCCAGTCTGAGAGGCCTCACCAGGAAAGTAACACCACGAGGCGTCCTTCACCTTAAACAGCAAGGACTTGGAAGACTTGCACTTGAGGACAAAGCACATAAAGTGAACAAACACGTGGTTCTGAGCTAGGAGCAAAGCTAGTCCCACCAGTCATGTTTATTCAGTACCTCGACAGAAGGATGTTGCAATTCTGAGCTCTCCGACCATCAATCACTGACAGTTCTTTGACTTTAAATTTGGAACTCAGTGTGTCATCAATGGCATCTGCTTCTTTCTGGAAAGAACACAAGAGAAATCCATCAGAGTCAAATGGGGCCACTCAGACTTGAGAGGCCCACTCTTCTTGCACATTTTCTGTTCACACACACACACACACACAAAGCTCACATACACACAGGGGCGGAGCTGAGATGATGAGGCAGTGTTGGGAAGGTGGTGCAATCAAAACAAAGGCTGCCCTCTACTTGGCAAAGAACATAAGCAAAGCTGACCACCCACATTTGAAAAAGCTTATTTAGAAGAACAAAGTGCTTCCAAGTTGAGGATGTGAAAGGTGCATAAATTATCAGCGAGAGATGCTGTCCTTTGTTCCTCAAATCTCTATGGGCAGCAGACGGAAGAACTGTCACTATGAATCAAGCTCAGCAGAGCTTTGTCATCACTGGTCCAGTCATTTAGAGGGCCCATTCACCCTAGAACCATTTGCAATCCTTAGCCGTCAAGAAAACTGAGAAATAAAACCCCAAACACCTTCATGTGCAATGTGCAACAGGAAGCTCCCAAAGGCCACATGTACCTTGCATTTCTCAAACCTGACAGAAGGACATTGCGGAGAGGGCAGTTGAAGAAATCTACTCAGTTATCTGAATTAACAATCAAACACTACTTGCATATTTTTATTTGCATATTCACTCATGATGGCCAGACATAACTAAGGTTGGAACAGGTATAAAACAATTAGATGCAAAATACATGTGAGCTATTATATTAATACAAAGTTCAAGGTGAGAATACAGATTAACTTGGAACATAGCCAATTTATTTCATTAGTGGTCAGGGACTTTTAAAAATGCATTATGACTTTTAAAAAATATAAAGAAACCATAAAGTTTTTGAACTGTGTAACTGTTTAGGGAGCAAAGGCAGTTTGAATGAATAATGGAGCACTATGGAGCTAAACGCCAAAGGTCTCTTGTGCTCAGATTTCAGGCATACTTCTAGACAGTCCAGTAAGAGTTGAATCCTAAAGAGGAATCACCCCAGGCATTGAATTACACTATCTAACAAGATAACCAGGGATTTCAAGCTTACAGTGAGCCAAGGAGTTATGTTAAGTAGGGGTTATACAGTAGCTTACTTACCTGCTTGGAGTTACTGTTCACAAAGAACTCCTACAGCCATGGCAGAGGCATAGAAAAGCAAATCAGATACATGCATTTCAGAGACCACAGCAGCAAACATGGAAAGTCAAAGCAGTCAAGGAATTGGTGGTACAGGCTAAGAGAGCAGGAGACATTTCCTGCCTTGCAGTCATCAACTCAAGTGAGCCAGGCTGGCTGAAGATGTAGTGAAGATCACAGTATAAGACATTTGGTATAAAGAATGGCAACAGATGCCATTTGCTACATATCATTTCAAGTGGTAGCAAATCAAATTCAGAAAAGAAAAGGGCTTAGAAGGACAATCTAGGAATGCAGTAAGTCCTTTTGAAAAAACCACCAGGCTCCCGTTTATTCAACGTGGTGTGCACATATACACATGCACACGCGTGTGCGCATGCTTGCACACACGCACGCACACGCACGAGCACACACACACACAGTGCTCAAAACCAAGGCACGTGTACACATTAGGCAAATAGTCTAAAGTTGAACTATACTGCCAACTACTATGACAATCTTCTGCATCAAGTAAAAATTGAACAATTAATCAGTATGACTGAGCAATGGCCACTGCTATAGAAAATATGCTTTTCTTTTGGTGGAAATCGCCTGTCTCCTTGTGTCATAAGGAAGAGTTAAGAAAAGTAAGTGGAGCAACCTAAGCGAGACCAACCTTAGTACTCTAGAGGATTCAACATGGCAGCAGGTGCTGTGGGAAAAAGCACAGCACATGCAATTGAGAAGCCACTGGCGTAGTTATTGGGGGGCATGTCTCAGTGGTCTGTGGGATGTTCATGCATACAAGGTCAACAGCTTCTTCAAAGAGCATGTAGAAAAGTCTTAGAGTGAAGATGGAGAAGAGGAGCTAATGTTATGTTACAAGAAAGTGGCAATTTTTCTATTTGCAAGGCAGGAATAAGCAACGCTTCGGTGTGCAAAACATGTTGCAGCTTTCAGGCCAACTGTGTGTACACTAGCATTTGCTCAGCAGATTCCTTAAGGTCTCCCTGGTCTCTGCCAAGGCCGGTTTTATACAGATGAACTGTTTTGCATAATTCTTCTAGTGGGAAACAGAAGGTGTCCTCCCCTTGGTCTGCCCACACTAGGGGGACTACTTCTCTGGGAAGGCATTTAAAAAGTAAGCTGAAAACCACAAGAGCCTTTCCTTCTGTCTGATATCCCAGTACTCTTTGCTCCTGTTATGATTCATATTTTCTACTCTGAAGATCTTCAGGACTCTTCCAGTAAAAGCAATTTTACTATAGTAAAATGAACTCTATGAAGTCAACTTAACCAAAGAGAAGAGTACTACTTTAGATTAGATCCTGCTCTCATGGTCTACTCTTCAAAAAGGAAATTTTTATGAAGCTTCTGAAACTCATTAACACTATTGGGAAGTTAAGACATCTGACCTCTGGTATGACAGTCTGTAGAATCAGGCAGCTGTCATCTGTTGGGTTTATGTCCTAGGGTGAACCAGTCTACCCATCTATTATCACTATGAGGGGTAAACGTGATAATGCAAGTTAAATTTCCTATGCAGTATCCAAAACATCTTTATGAGCCCCAGCCTAGAAGCAAACATAACACACAGTTATTGTAGCTTTAGAACTGACAAGTCACTTTTCCCACTCTGCTCTTCTGGCTGAGTGGTAGAGTGGCTGGGCTGGATCTTCCATTTGTAACCATGAGCAGCAATAAGCATGGCAGCTAATAGCTAAGCAATGCATCTTATCTTTCCAGAGAGTGAAGATTGCCATGTAAGGGTTTGGTAATTGTTAGCCTTAAGACAACACTTCTTTGAAGCTCCAGCAGCAGCACATTACAGATAAAATTAAACAGGATGGGTTTCATTAGGTGCTGCACACTAGAAATAATCAAACTACCAGGCTCACTTCATGTGAAACCTTATTCCCTAAGAAATCAAAGGGTAATATAAATGATCTTGGAATATAAATAGGAAGTTGCTATTTGCATTTTCAGGAATCAATGCTTGTAAACTACTATAAATGGCTTCACAAAGAAATGATGGCTCAACTTTGCATAATGATAATACTTATATGAATGAATCTTAATCCTTTCAAAATGAAACATGCTGATATTTACGTAAATCTTGTATTTGATAATTCTTACCATGCAAACTAGGTACAGAACCTCAAACTACACTTAAAGATTATGCTTATTTATTTATCTTTGGGTATGTATGTGTGTGTGTGTGTGTGTGTGTGTGTGTGTGTGTGTGTGTTGTGTGTATATGTCAGTGTATGAGCATGGGTACCCCATGCCATAATATATGCATGGAACTGTTTTCCCTTTCTGCCAAATGGGTCCCAGGTTTTGAACTTAGGTCATTAGACTTGGTGGCAAGTTTCTTTACCTACAGAACAATCTCTCCAGTACTATAGTTAAAAAACAAACAAATAAACAAGCCCGAGGACACTAGTCACAGTTTTTCTTGTCTTTAAGTACTAAGACTAAGAATCATGATGACTGGGAGCTGGAGCTATAGCTCAGTGGTACAGCACTTGCATGAAGCCCTAGATTCTATCTCTAGTATTACAAAGTCAAAGCAAAATGAGAAAACTGACATTGTTGAAGGAAAAAAAATCACCAAAAAAACTGCTACATGATTTTTTCAATGTGGAAACTAGATGCAGACTACTTAACTGTAAAAAAAATTAAAAAAGAAAAACTTCCTTGATCCTTCATAAGGAATTTGTAGATCACCTGAATATTCCAAATGAGACCCTGAAGTATTTATAATATTATACTCTAGCAGTAGAGTTGGAGAATGAAGCCCGGGCCAGTAGCTTTCCTTTGTTCCCTATATCAAAGGATGGCAGCTTTGAAATGTTACACTATGTGGTGAACATAGGCTTCTAAAAGAAGAGTTGTCCTCAGGCAAACGGCAAGAAGGAGGGGGATGCTGTGAGCTGCTAGTGGGCTGCTAAAGGGCAATACTCCTTTTAGGCAGATGTGGTATTTTTAGCTCATTCCCCTGTATATAATCTGCATAGATACGAATTGATAGCATGTCAGGATGAAAATTTCCCATTACAAATGTGAGGACTATTCAACTGTATCTTAATAAAACTATTACACAGCATTTGATGTTATATATTAAAAACTAGTCTCTTGTGGCTGACCTGGAGATCATGTGTAATGTAGCTCCAATGAGGAAAAGGTCTTGAGAATCAAGGAATTGACTTTCAAATGAACTTGTGGAATGCACACAGGGGAATAGCTTCATGCTATTAAACCCCATTTCATGGGAGGCATAAGCTTACATAATCGGCTCTCCACACCTTTAATGCATGCACTTTCCCCAGTCTGGTAGTGGTAATGAATAAACCACAGTTTAGAGAACAAAGAGGAGCCGAGAACTTTGCACTCTGTCACCTGTTTGGGATACTGAGTACACACTAAGTCCTATTTTCAGTATCGTAATATGAGAATACTGCATCCCTCCTAGAGCTGGGGTGAGAACCAAATAAGAAAATAAGTACAGGAGCTGCTTGAGCACCAAATTTTAGGGTTGATGTCATTAAGAACTGTTTATATCATACCCAGTGCCAGAAACATTGCTAGTTTTTGATAGTGATCACCATTGTGGTCCCTGTGACAATTACTTATAGTTTTTCCCATCTCTGCTTTGTACTGTAATTATATTGTGGGCCTATAAGCAGGTTGAATGCATTTGCATCATATGAGTCCTTTGACACAGTTCGTACAAAAAGGAGACAAACTAAATACTTAATTTTAATGATAGAATAATTATCAAATCAATTGATATATTTTATATGTGTATAAGCATATAATCAAATTTATATATTTATGTAGATATATATATATATATATATATGGATGTAAACATTCCAAAAGTGTTCATTCCTTATTTAAATTATGCTACTTTGATACTGCTGAGTAGGCTCTGAGGGTCCTATGGTACTGATGTTTGTCTGAAAAATTTATCTTCACAAATGGCTGAAATCTAGCTTTTGACCACATTCATAGCTTTATAGGAAGGGAAGAGAGGTCATGGAAAAAGATGGATTCTCAGTATTCAACTGGCACTAGAAATAAGAGCAGTTTAAATGTGATAATCTCACAACGTGTTGCCATGCCTAGAACGAGCATGCACAGGTTTTTGATGTTGCCATTCTGGAATGAGGGGACAGCCAAGTGACAGGCGCTCCACCTCATTTACTCTCATCTGCATGTTATGATCAAAATGCCTGGAGCTTTTCATTTTCTGACTCTCAACTCTTGAAATGGCTCAAGTTACCCTCATTTGGAAAATACAGCAATGATTTATCTTCTATTTTTATAGCAGAAGGGAATATTTAAAATACCCAAGTGGAGTGGGTGCTGTTAAAAGTTTTTTTCAGGAAGTACTGTTGGAAATGATGATGCCTCCCACCAGTTTACCCATGTTAAGAAGAACCGAAACATGTTGGTCCATCCTGTCAGGGATGACTACTGACTATTTAAACAGTGTTGGTTGCTAGGAGACAGTTACTCAGCTACAGAGCCTTCTGCAATTGTATCTCCCAGAACTCTTGAAAACTGTCCATGTATTTGTCCCAGGGCATTTTGGCAGCATCCTTCTGTACTTTCTGCTGAAAGTCAGTTAATTATGAAGCTTGTAAACTTGGGTCTCTCAACCACCTGCCTTCCTCACACATTCACTGCACATGCTCAGACTTGAATGGCACAGTGTGGACTACCTGCTGCTTCCCTCCATCTCATCCACTTTCCTGAGGTTCCACACCTTCACCTCAGGCAGCATGAAGGCAAAAGAAATGGGACTTGTAGCCAGGTCAGAGGGTTACTTGAATTAGTTGGAAATTTGCTAAAAGTGTTTGCCAAGATGCAGGGACCTCCTTCCTAGGACTGTGGAGAGAGAAGAGGTATACAACAGCCCATCAGGGATAACTATGGCAGAAAAGCTACAGGACAAGGGCTCTGAACACATCTTTGTTTGTTCTTTGAAACATAAGGTGTACTGTTTTCCTCTGAACAACCCTTCACCTCCCTTTTGTCACCTCCCCTTACTTGGTGCAACCAGCACTGAGCATGGCACCTTCTCACTTACGAAGGGGCTGGCTGAGGCTGAGGCTTTGGCTCTATAGCATCATGGCAGGGACCTAACTTTTCTTTCCTACTCTACTGAACCAGCATGAAAATCCCTGCACAGATGCTCGCTTGCCCTCTCTTCCAGCAAAGTCCCCTAGTGAATAACACTGTCTCCTAGGTAGACACATCAGAAACCATCTTGAAAAGACAGCCCAGCTCAGTTTCGCTCTAGCCTCTGTCCATCTCCTTGGTGCCTAGCACTTCTTTTTTGAGACAGTCTTTCTGAGGGACCCAGCCAAGAAAGCAGACCAGGAAGTCTTCTGTTTGTTTAAGGATGTTCCACCCTGCTCATGATTCATGCAGGAGTCAAGCTGCCAGGGCAGCCCTCAGGAAACCCCTGTGCAGATGCCCAGCACTTGTGCTTGCCATCTGAATGCAGTGTGCACTGTTCACAGGTCCTCTCTGTCAGTCTGCCTTAGGAATCTTTCTCTCCATATTCCTTGGTTCACTTTTCCCTTCCTCAGGACTCTGACTGATTTTGCCTCACCTTTTCTTTGTTCGCCTGAACTCTCTATATCTAGCTACCGTGTTCTAACTTTTGGCCTACACTTTACACCTTTGGAGGAAGCCCTCTAGAGCAACAAGGAAGTCTACAGAGATGTGACCAAGGTGAATACAAGGAGGCTACCTACTTGTAGGTAGTGTGCCTCGTCAGTGCGTGCGGGCAGTGGGCACCACACCACATGTTCTTGCTACCATCATGGAAGTGTTAGTAGTGGCTTTTCTGGCTTTGTTGGTATCACTGACATTTTCACACTTGCTCAGCTTGTGTAACCCTACTAGTGAACCTATAATGTTCATGACACTTGGTTGAAACTCCTCTGTAGATTTTATTTAGCTGCCAAATTATAGTTTTTATAAAACGTCATACTTTTAAAGAGTTCATCTAATCCAAAAAGCATTTTGATTCTGAGACTAACCATTTGATATTTCTTTTAACTCAGACAACCCAGAATGGTTTCAGAAACAGATGCCACTGGGTGACTGCTTTTCCTACATTCAACTTGGACAAGTCTAGACAAGACAGAAAGAAGACCTCAGACATATATTACGGTAGGAAGCTTCTCCACAAAGTGTCCACATGCCTTCAAGTGGTTCCCATGCACTGATGGGCTACTGGACACACATGTGGACATGTAGCTATGCTGCTGTGCAGGAACACATCGGGGAGACCAAGCAGCATGAGCACTAACATGCTTGTGCATCACGGCTCCAGCAGATGGCCCAGGGATCCTGCATAAGAACACGTTACCTGCTGTCTTTGGTAGGCAGAGAAAGTTCTTTCTAGGTCTTCAAGGTCTAGAATTTTGAACACTTTGGTATCATCGATTTCAGTCCATACTGTTCCTTCCAATTTGTTCTAGAAACATCAAGTTAACAAGGTCTTTGATTGACAGTCAAACAGAAAAAAACAAGTTTTTTTTTAAAGCACAACTATTCCAAATGTTTACTTCTATAGGATACTTCAGTGATCTGGTTTGAAACCATGTGTAATTATTTCAGAGGCAATACCAACTAACACAGGATCCACACTAGATGGCCAGGCTATCCAGCATCAGGGAGGACACTGAGCTGCAGGTGCCACCCACTGATACACTAATGGGAAAATGGGAACACATGTCTTACCTCAGGCAGCTTAGACCAGTTGAAGGATTTCAGCGCATTGGTGGGCTGGGGAATGTTTTTCTTCTTGAGTGTCAGACTCACTGGAGCACCAGGAGGTGGTAGGATTCCCCCTAAGGGAGGAGGCCCTGGGGGAGGAGGAGGACCTCCAGGAGGGAGGGGAGGTGGTGGAGGAGGAAGTGCTCCACCTGAAAAAAGTGGGGGTGGTGGGGGAGGAAGAAGAGATCCTATCCCAGAGGAAGGAAAGGGACCCCCTGGGGCTCCAGGTGAGGGTCCTCCTGGGACTGGAGCACCAACAGCCCTCTGGAAAGAGAAGATCAAGAAGAATCAATGAAAGGAGAAAATTGATTGGATGACTTTACGAATCTGATCTTATCTGAGATATATGTAACAGAGCCCCCACATTTCTCAGAATGTGGGTTTCAAGGTTGGGTAAGCCAAATGGACTCTCCTGGACCCTCATGTCTTCTGACACGTAAGTACTTTTTTTGCAGAGCCTTTATTCCTGTCACTTGCACCATCCTTATCTAAGAAGCTAATGAGAGTTCCTTTGTTCTCAGGACAAGATTAGTGGTCAAAACTCAACCCCAAACCACTTCTGCTGCCTAAGCCACAGGATGTTGGTGGTTCAAGTCCACTACTGAGATCAACTGCAAGACATTTCAGAGCTCATTCCTACATCAGACGTGTCTACTTCAGGGCAACAGGCCCAGGAGAAAAAGGGGGGGGGGTCTTGATACCCTTGTGCAGGAGGCCAGGTCTCAGTCCTTACCCTGTTGAGCTCATGGAGCTGTGCTGTGAGATCTGCCACCTGCTGCTTGACCTGCTTGTGCTCAGTCGTCTCCTTTTCAAGCTTCTCTTTCATCTTATTTAAGGTCTGCATCATTTCTTCCTTCTCTTGGGTCTTGGCATCACATTCTCTCTCTTTCTTCTCCAGCTTCTGTTGTAGTTCATTGTGTTCTACACAAGAAAACAGGACATGAAAACGGCCCTCAGGGAGGAAGCATTTTCTTTAAAAAGAGGGGAAAAAAAGTTCTGAGGATAATATAGAGATTGTGGGTCAGCCTGTCCTAGACATCAATCTTCTTCTCCATGCAAGGGCAACTCAAGAGCTAAACAGTGCTCATGCTGGGAAAAGGCCTCATGTAACAAATTTAGTAACATTTTGGAAAAGACCAAAGAGACTCTAAAGCCATGGTTCCGTAACTGGGGGAGGAGAGTTTGAGCAACTTCTCATGGAGCGTGGTATCTTAATTCTGAGTCCTGACACAGAGGTGGCCTAGCAGTTACACTAGGGAAACGGATTACTAAAGAAGGGTCCTTCTCACATTTAGAAGTGGGCAAGAGAGAAGCCCGGCACTGGTGAATGAAGTTAGTTGGCTTGTGTCCCACTAACAGGAGAAGAATTCTGTGCTGTAACAGAGAACTGATGCTGAGTCCTGTCTCCCTGCCCCCTGGGAAAGCCAGCTGAAGTACTTTGTGCTTCTGACATTAAAACTAGGAGAAACAAATGCCATTGTCTCTGTGTTCAGTATTTTGAGGATATCAGTGCTGATTAGGAACCGGAGCTACAGGACTGAGAGGACAAAACGTAGCTCTTGGCTGTGGTTACTGACACCCCCACGTGTGGTGGCATGGCACATGGGGATCTAATTCAGAGCAATGATGTTCATTTTGCCAATGAATATAAGAGAAATGATGAAGTTCATCTAGGCTGTAGGTTTCTAATTTTAAATACTTGCCCTCAATGCCTCTTCTTTTTATAACAAACACACCAGGGATACAGCCCACTGGGGCTGAACTTTACACAGCTGGTCGCTCTACCTCTGAACTTGGTAACACATTTAAACTCTTACTGTCTCTTTGGGATCTTCCCTCCTCTATGGCTCTCCAAAATGAAATCTGCAGGAAGGTGTGAGCCATTACAATCTTTGAGTTTTGTCAGCTTCCAAACAAAACAACAAAACCAAAAAGCCTTCACTCACATTTATCATTCCACTGATGCCTGACTTCCGGTCCACATCTAAAACAACCTTTCTGTGTTCCCTTTTCCTTCTTCTATCTCCATTCATTGATAATTAAGAGATTAGGAATGTCCCTTCTTTCATCATTAGCCTTTGACAAATCTGGCTGTGCCTCAGACTCAGCAGAGGTCTTAACATTTCAAGACCACCGCCCAAAGCCTTCTGCAAGTAGTCTATACAGTAGGTGGGGACAGGCTTAGGAAATAGGTTAGAAGAGGCTCCTTGATGGTCCCGAGGTGATAGCACATTTGGGAAGTGCCAGCCTGAAAACTGTCTCCCAACTGACATCATCTACTATCCATTCACTGAGTATTTACAGCTATCATCTCAGAGTCCTGTGCTCCCTAGACTTCTCCCTCAAATATTCTCCTATTTTAGGTCCAAACAACTTCATATTGCCTCCTTTAAAATTGTCAACAATTCAACCTAACTTTGCTAGCTGAAGCTTCCAGAAGATAACTCATTTTATATACAATTCCTCTTTTCTTTTGTCTTATACCACCCCATTCTTCCCACTGACCTTGGATATTTTTTCCTGTGCTACCTTACCACTGAATCCTGTAATGGATTCTATCATTTGCTGTGTAATTAGTATGTGCCCAACACTATGATAACTTTCCATTTCCTATAAATGTAATCTTCACAACAACTGTGAGTGAGATTTACTCCCCATGCTGTGGAAGCGGGGATCATCAGGGGGACGAGAAAATGTCACTGCTCACAGGAAGGAGGCTGGAGTTCAGGCTCGCCCTGAGAAGCCAGCACAGTTCAACACACCAGAGACACTCAGGTGCCCCCTGAAGGTATGGTCTGACAATTCAAAATCTCATGTCCCAAGTGCTCTCAACTGTAAACTCATACCTACTCTAGAGTGTATTCTTAGCCATCTATTCACTGACTGCTCTCATCTGCTTTTGGTAGCTTGATAAACAGCATGATGAAAAGCATCTTATGGAGGGGAGGGCTTGCTCTCAGGCTCCTTTCTTTTTTTTTTCAATTGATTTTTATTTAAGTTAAGAACAGCCTTATTTTACATACCAATCTCAGTTCCTTTACCCTCCCATCCTCCCATTCCTCCCCAGCTACCTTTCTTATACAGCTCAGGCCTACCTGCCTAGGGATGGCACTGCCCACATGGGCTGGGCCCGTCTACATCAATCTACAATAAGAAAATTTCCTCAAAGACACACCCACAGGCCAGTCTGATCAATGCAACCCCCAAATTGAGACTGTCTCAGATAACACTAACTAGAACAGGAACTATACTCTCCTTGGTTTACACTCTCTTAACCTTAGTTTTTGTCAGTGCTTCTCTTCTTTCCATCCATGGTGGACTCTGGAATGTATTACAAAGATTATGAGAGCAATGCGGGTGAACAGCAGCACAGGGAGCCCAGCAGGCCTGGCAGTGACCCTTCTCACTCCCTCTGGTGGCTCTGAGCAAGTGTGGTGGGAGAAGAGGGAGTGCTCAGGCAGCTCTTGACATTTGTTTCAGAAAATCAGATGCTGAGTGAATGTGGCTGTATTTCACTGGCTGAGACTGAATGACTCTGACAAGCGGAAGATGAGTCCCTCTTTCAGTGTGGTGAGGAGCGGGGGAGTGTGACTGCTTTCCCAAAGGTGACTGGACTTTGCTAAGATTCTGAAGGAGGGAGGGAAGCTGTATATTTCTGGGAGTGGCTGGCACCAGGAGGAACACAAATGTCTCTCCTGTCAGAGGCGGAGGGACAGCATCAAAGGCACAGTCCAGTGCCGCTAGTGGTTGGCCTGCTAACGTCCCTAATGTGTCTCCACAATGGTTACCGACTTTCCACATGATTTCTCCTTCTATGATGGGTGCCGCATTAGAGCCAAGGAGAGAACAGAACTGCCCATACCAAGTAGACTGTGCTTTTGTCCTAAGAGTCTGAAGAAATCCTAGGCTGCTTATATTTATTCAAACCCAAAATGCTTTAAGTGAAGTGCAGCTGTGGGCAGAGACTTGTGTGCTCAGTAGTTTTTAAAGAAATCTTGAACTAATTAATTTTAAAAATTGTGTGTGTGTGTGTGTGTGTGTGCGCGGGCACTCGTGCATGCGTGCGTGTAGGTTAAAGGTAAGAGTCAGTTGTTTCCTTCCACTATGTGGGTCCCAGGGATCAAAGTCAGGTTGTCAGGCTTGGTGGCAAGTACCTTTACCCACTGACCCATTGTAGGAGCCCTTAAAACAAACAAAAACAAAACAAAACAAAAAACCACACACTTTCTTTGTTTTCAATTAATGAAGTCTGAACAGCAAAGTTACAATCTTTTCTAAAATACTTACAGAATAATAAAACATAAGGATGAAGTACCTGGAAAACAGCAAGAAAACTAATTGATCTGAATTTAAAAAGTCAATCCTAAATGCCCTAAGATGTGAAAAAGAAAGGCTATTGGTGTGCAGACATGAACATGAAGCCAGCTCCCCAACGCCCAGGTCACCCAAGCAGAGCCACGCCTGGCAGGGCCCTGCCATTTACCTTTTCTCATTTTCTCTGCCTGTTCTTTCCATTGCTTAACTTCGTTTTCATTGACCAACCTGTAGAATAGTTAAAGGAAAACTTGTTAAAAAGAACAAAACATGTCCATTGCCAAAATGTGTTCTCCTTGGGCTCACAAACAGCGTACTGCACAGACTCCTCAGTGAAACCCAGATGTGTTTATTTGTAACATTTCATCTGTCTCAGCAGCTGTCAGTCTGATACAGGACAACATGAGTATCTCAGAGCATTGCCATCACAATCTCACAGACAAGATGAGAAAAGACTTACATTCTCACGACGTTCTTAATATTGAAGTTTTCCAAAGGTGTAGAGTCAGGGTCCTGCCCTTTGTCACTCTGGATAACTATTTGCTGTATGATTCTGTCTAGCAGCAGCCAGTACTGAACTGTGTTACCACTTCTCTTGTCTAAAACAGAAGAGAGGGGTAGAAACCATCTTCAACTGTGAGGTAAACTAGGATGAGTTCAACACTGGGAACCCTTAGAGCTATGGATCTGATCAAGAAGCACTCTCCATACCCTTTTCTACATGTGTTATAAGGCATGCACTCATTTTGAAATCAAAGTAAATTGTAGATCATTTCATTCTGAGGATTTCATAACTGCCCCTGATCTGGGAGGAAACAAACAATGGGAAGGGACAAAGCTGAGGCTTAGGGTCCCTGGTATGACCCAATCTAGTTAGTACTGTGGAGAAAGCAGGACCCTGGGATGCGGTCCTCACTCTCCATGGTGCGCACAGTCACAACACTCACAAGGCATCTGGAGGCAATGGTGCAGAATGGACATGAAGTGAGGGTAGGCTTCACTGTGAGTCAGTCGCTTCCTGGTCAGCTCAAACATCTGGGTTGCACTTTTTGTGTCTATGTGAACCTATTTTATAGGAAAAACAAATCTGAATCAGACATCAATTTCTTAATTCTCCCCGACACAGAAGAGTGCGTGCCATGCAGATACAAGTGGACCCTGCTGCTTCACAGGCTGCACTGGCCCACACTAACACAGAGCATGCATCTCAAGAGGCAAATCCAATGATTTGACAAATCACATCAGAATAATTATAAGAATACATACCAGTTCAAATCTTTTGGCAAATTCTAGTTCATCTTCATTTCGGAGCATTTCAAAAAAGTCTAAATGCCTGAAAGGTAATTGAACAAAAAGTGAGAAAAACTGGAACATCTCACCAACACAAGCACAAAGGAGTCAAGATGTTCAAGTGCAGGCCTAGGCACACTGTGGTGCTGTACTGATGAAGGCCCATTACTCAGGAGGTGGACACGGGACCAGAGCAAGCTCAGGCCCAGTCTGGGCTGTATAGTGAGTGTCAATCTCAGAAAGCAAGGCAGGGATGTAGAATGGTAGTGCATGACCGTCATCACATGTAAGTCTTGCAAGGGGTTGACCCTCAGGCTGGCAAAGGAAAGCTAAAAAGACCCTTCGTGATTTTTAGTGTTAGCTCCAAAAGAAACAGGGTAACAAAACTTGAATGCCTTTAATCCCAGCACTTGGGAGGCAGAGGCAGGAGGATCTCTGTGAGTTCGAGGCCAGCCTGGTCTATAGAGCGAGTTCCAGGACAGCCTCCAAAACAATACAGAGAAACCCTGTCTCGAAAAATCAAACCAAACCAAAAACAAAACAAAACAAAACAAAACAAAAAAAAACGTTGAAAAACTTTAACCATGGTCCTTCTAAACAAAACAAAATCAAACCTATCTGAGTTAAATAAGATCATAGTAAGAATAAAAAGAAGAAAAACCTAGGGTGCATAGCACCTGGTAGGTAATTATAAAATGAATAAGTGTTTATCAAATCTAAAAAAGTCCAGATTCCACTTGGTGACTCTTTCATGGAAAAACATGCCCATTAGCTTACACTTGACTTGCTATTGAGTTATAGATCAGAAAAGAAATATCAATGTCATTCATTCATTCATTCATGTGAATTTTGATTAACCTCCTACTCTGTTCTGCATTCCAGGAACAATGCAGTCTATAAGGACAAACACATAATGGTAAGGGAGATGGGAAACAGAGAAGAGAATAAAACTGCTCTGTAGCTGAAGGGGGTATTCCGCAGAGGAAGGGAACAAGTGGTCAGAAGAGCTGTGAAAGGTGTTCAAAATCAAAGAAAGGCTACGTACAAGGGGCCCAGGCAGGCGTGTCTGGGCCCCGCTATGCACTGTCAAGGTGAAGAGCATGCTGGGTATGTGAGTGAGGAAGACAGCAGTGGCAGCAAGAATCTGCAAGCTGGTGGGGATGCCTTAGAAATGGTAACAAGTGAACAGTGGCTGGAAACTGGAACTCACAGAATGCCTGTTAAAGTTACTAAGAGATTCCACAGGTCTCAGAGGCAGTTCTTATGATAGAACTAGAGTCCAGCTGTCATTGCCATTATTACCACTTTTGTAGATATTAAAAATAGGGAAGTTCAGAGAGTGAGTAACTTCAGCAGGATACATAATACACAGGAGGCAAGACTGTGGCGGGACAGATTTGGGCCACATGAAACTCTCTATGCCATGCTGTTTCCCTCTCTGCCCAAGTTTCACCAACAGAACGTGATAAGCTGAAGTAACAGGCTGTGCAAGCCCCTGGTGTGACTGGCAGGCTGGAAGCAGCCCGTGGGCTAGCACTTCACCTGGCACTGAATCATATGGTGGGTGCCGCATGGACGCTCTCAAGCTGTAACAGTATGACTTACCTGTCTAACGTCGAATTTTCATGTTCCCTTAATTTATCTATAACAGGTTGAATTCCTAACATCAGGAATTCATAGCGAAGATGGAGTCTAAAGTCCAAACTCTCCTGAAAATAAAAGGGGACACAATACAGATTTATAGTTTTTCAATTATATTGTTACCACACTGGAAAAGTGTTCTTTAATGCTATCTGTGTAAAACTGCAGGGCTGAGTTCTTACCACTCCGGCTCCTTGGCTTAGCACTGCATTGATGAAGGACATGATGGCAGTCTTGAGACTCACTTCATCCCGATAACGCCCAGTGCTTTTGTCCAAGTCGTTAATTAACGTCTGTCAATTATACAAACAGAAAAAGTGGGGTCTGAATCATTACCAACCCCACCTATGCTCATTTAAAAATTTTTTTTAATGCTTGGAGGTTAATTTTTAAAGTCTCCCTTAGAGTTACACTGATTCACACAGTCTCCTTTATACTCAGGATTGCAGTTATGAACTCTTTCCCAGGTGTGGTCACATCAAGTGTATATAAAACACAGGAAACTTTGCTTCCTTGTCTCCACTTGCTTTTTATTTTGAAGTAAAAATATGATGACACAGTCTCACTATTAATTTTGACCCTAAATAAAGAATAGTAACCTTCAAAGTTTTCAGGGAACAGTCCAGTCCGTGGATTCAAAAGATGCATGCTATGTAATACAGAGGATGCAGTCACAGTTTTTTGTTTTAAAATTTATTGTATTAAATGTTTTTGTTTTTATTTCATGTGTGAGTGTTCTCCCTGCATGTAAGTATGTGCACCATGTGTGTGCCTGGTGCCCACAGAGGTCAGGAGAAGTCATCAGAGCTCTTGGAACTGGAATTATGGACGGCTGTGAATCACCATGTAGGTGCTGAAAACTGACCCTGGGCCCTCTGTACTCCAGCCCAGGGTCATAGTTTGAGTTCAGTATATCTTAGACCCCACAATGATCAACAGGGAAATCATATTCTATTTTCCTGTTCTTGAACCTAAGAGAAAGGGAACGTTTGAAGACAAAATGTGAGCACTGGGAGGAACTATCAAGTAATCCCCTTCAGGGCCAGAAAAGGTACCCGTTTGTATAAAGAGTGGGGTGAGTGAGAAATCCTGTGGGGAGCACCTACCTGGAAGCGGGTTCTCTCACTGGCATACTTCTGGTAGTGCAGCATAGCCTGCAGAACTTTTTTGTGACCCCCAGGAACCAGGCACACGGCGCCCAAGATTTCTAGCACGGCCACCTTTGTTTTAATGTTTTCTGTGCTCAGACTCTGAGCAATGACATTAATACTCTCAGAATGAGCCAGGACATGAGCCCGGCCTTGAGAGTTGTTCATTAGTGCCTTTATACAGCCAATGAGGGAGGTATGTATCCGAGACTCAGAGGTCTCATAGTCCATAGTCTTCAGAAAGTTGAGAATACATGACAGGCCATCCAAATCGATGAATCTTGTAACAAACCTGTCAGGAAAAAAGTGATTAGATTGGTTCCTTCGTGCTTTTGTAACCATCTTTAATAGAAAAGCCCAGGGGGAAAGGAAGTAGACTTACTTCCTGAAGAACCTAAAGGCTTACGCATTAATGAGGTCTTTGTAATTCTTTGCCTCTTCCATGGCACAGAACCAATGGTCAGTCTAATCAGACTGAAAAGATCTCCCCATTTGGGGCAAGCATACCTCAGCTGGTACAAATACCAACAGATCACATCTTCACACAACGCCAGGACTAGCGGACACTTAGTATATATATATTTACCCCTTCTCCCTAATGCTGGGGATTGAACTCAAGGCCTCACACATGCTAAGCAAACACTGTGCCATTGAGCTACAGCCCTATTCCTAGAATATCTCTCCTGTGCTAGGTTAAAAGTCACTTTCTGATTTGAGTGACTGCAGCATCTAGTTTCCATGTGGTCCTGAGCATTACCTCTAGACGTCAAAAAGAAGCACCATTCAATTCTATCACTCATCAGACAAATGACTGCTTTTATTGCTAGGGTGTTACATAGCAAAACCCTTCTTTTACATGGGATACTACACGGAATCCTAATACACAAATGGGTAAGAGCTAAGGTTTATTCCTGTGGGTTAATTTTATTAGCATTTATAACCTTTACTGTGAAGGATGAGAATTCACAATGCACGTGTATATATGAAAGCTGACCAGCACAGATATAACAACCTATTTATTTGACTACTCTGGAACTTCCAAGCTCCCTCACCTCTGGATACCTCAGTTCAGAGCTCATAACAGACCAAGAAGCGAGGAGTTTGTCGTCATGGTCTGGATGACCCTTGTCAAACACCTGTACAGTGCTTTTTATACATCACTACTTCTTTTTTTAGTTTGCATTTTATTACTAAATAAAGAAAATTGTTACTATTATTTTTTAACCATTCCACCAAACCACACTACCTTTATCTAGGACACCCTTGCTAATGCAATGTACTGTAAGAACATCAATACCTCACCAAACTCTGGAGGCCTTCATGGGAGGTGACAGTGGAATAGGGGCAGAGTGGAAGTGGTTACTAGAGAGAATCCATTCCTTGCCAGAAAGTCAACCCATCTTTATTTTTAATATTAGTTTTACTGATATGTAATTCACATGCCATAAAGCTCATTGATTTAAAGAGCACAATCCCATAGTCTACATTTTAGTTATTCATTTGTCATCTGGACAGGGATTGTCAGGGGATATGGGTTGTTTCCACTTAAAACAACAAAAACAACAATTATTTTGAATAGTGCTGATAATGAACATTTGCACACAAGTGTCTGGGAACCAATCTTTACTTGTCTGTGTACCTAGGAGGACAGCTTTTGGGTCATTTGGTGACACTATGTTTAACACTGTGAGGAACTAGCTGCCCTTCTACACTCCCAAATGACTGCACTGACATCCCGAAGAGCACTGAAAATTGTCTTGCCATACTTGTACTCTAGCATTGTCTCCCTCTTTCTCCTTTCTCCCTTCCTTTTCTTTTACAAACCTTATCTTAGTCATTGTCTGCCTTTCTTTTAAAAGGTTCAGAGATCAAAGTAGCTACCTATGGTTCGTTAAATGCTTTTAAATGTAAGAGTCCCTGGATGGTTTGAGCATTGCAGCATACAGGAGGGAAGACAGGAAAGGAGAGGAAGGAGAGGGTGCTGCACTACCCAGGGGAAAGCACCTCATGGGTTTTGTCCTCAGAGCTGTCTTCAGACTCTCGATGGTTTTACTCCTCTCTTCTTCTTCTTCCTTCTCTAGAGCCAGCAGAGACTTCCTCTACAAAAGAAAACAGAAGTTACTTCTTCATTATATTTTAATTAATGTAAATTATTTCTCCCCAAAAAACAGTGCATCTATGATTAAGATTTAGCATCAGCAAAAACAAAGAATACCATCAAGAACTCTGCAGAGTCTTGTCTGTATTACAAGTTACACTTTCGAACTACATATGACATTTCAATAAAATGCTTGAACACTTTAGAAGAGGTTAAGTTACACAAATGTTTGCACAATTATTGTATCACATGCCCTGATGCAGATGTCACCATTTGTATTTGAAAGAGAGAAGAAGCTGGGCCTATAGCTGGGTGCAACTTTCTGGCACCTAAAAGTAAAAACATTACAGGTTCAGGTGACACACACAGCCACTTTCCATGTGATCACTAGAATTAGCTGAAATTGGAATGAAGATGAAAGGGATTTCTTTACCTCAATTTTTAAAAAAGTAACAATTAAATTCAATCTGATACTGATTACTCTCAAGAGTAAATGCATGTTCTTAATTATGACCCGACATCATTCAGATATCAAGGTTTGGAAGGCGGGGGATGGGTGAGGTGAGGGTGGGGGGAGAAAGAGGCAGGAGAGGAAGCACGCAGGCACACACACACACACACACACACACACACACACACACACACACACACACACACACACACACACATGCAGGGAGCTGCTAAGACCGTGCCTGAGATGCTGCATTTCTTCAAAAATTTCCAGGTATTGTTGATGACACAGGAGCAAGGCTCTAAGCAAGAAAACCTTAGTGACATTAGTTATTTATTTACTTATTGTCTGTATGAGTGTGGTACTATGTGTATGTATGTGTGGAACAGGTGTCATGAAACCAGGGGAGAATATCAATTGAGAATCCTACTCTATAACACTCTACCATATTCTCTGTTTTTTTTTTAAGTTATTTATTTTCATTTTATATGAATGGTTGTTTTACCTGCATATATGTATGCCATGTGTGTGAACTACAATGTGGGTGCCAGGAACCAAGCCTGGTTCCTCTGGAAGAGAAGCCAGTGCTTTTAACCTCTGAGCCATCTCTCCAGCCCCAGCTGCCATATTCTCTTGAGAGGATCTTTTACTGTATCTGGATGTTGTATGTGATATGTTGTATATCTATGATGGCTAGTGTCAAATGTCAACGTGACAGAATCTGTAATCCCCTGGGAGATGGGCCTATAGGCATGCCTATTTTGGGGGAGTATTTTGACTATATTAATTGATGTTAGATTAATTCTAATTTCAAGTGGGATGGTCCCCTGGGCAGGATATCCTGGACTATAAACGGAGAAGGCAAGCTGAGTACTGGCAATCACTGCTCTCTGTTCCTGATTGTGGATGTCGTGTGACCAGGTACTCCAAATTCTGCTGCCTTGCCTTCTCTACTGTGATGGCCCAAAACCTTGGATTGTGAGTGACAACAACACTTTCTAATAAGTTGCTTTTCTCAGAGAATTTATCATAGCAACTGGGAAAGAAAACTAAAGCACATCTCCTGAGTCGTCAGGGGACATAAAGTCACAATATCCACAAGGGTTACCATCTTTTCACTTCCTTTCATCCATGATCACCTAGCTATGCTAGAACAGGCATCCTACCCCATGTCTAGTCCAGAAGCCTTCACCCTGGAGCTGCTGGTCCTTTCCTTCGCCTGCTCTGAACACATATTCCTGTCTCCTCAGCCCTATCTGTTACAACTCTGATAAGAAGCTGCGTGGGGGACAGTGAGGTGACTCTACACAGAGAGAAAAACCTGATCTAGCATTTTTTTTGCAAGTCATCACGGGAAACTTTATTATTGTTTTTTAAGTCAATAGCACCAACATGAAGTAACTAACCATGAATGTTAACTAAACCAATTAGACCTTTTGATGAGAAAGAAGTATACAGCTTACAATAAATAACCAGTGTCATGTATGACAGCTTGGGGGGGGTAGGATCTATTTATTTATTTATTTATTTATTTATTCATCTATTTATTTATTTAAGATGTTATTTTGCTGGTGATGTGTCTCGACAGCTGTCACCAGAGGAGAGTAGATGAAGAAGCTATGCACAGAAATAGGCAAAGAATTCCTCCAAATCGCCATGAGACCCATCCTGTGAAGTCAGTGTGAACCCAGTGACGGGCATTCAGTTTCCAGTGGCAGCTGAACGCCTCTAGAGTGTCAGGAGCATTCTGAAGTGGCAGCTCACAATCAAGCCTTGACAATGAGTATCACTCCTTCTTATGGAGATGGACTTCATATGAATATCCTGAACAAAAAAACTACACAATTCATTGTAGGTCACTGCCACCAGGTTAGCAATCCTGGAGAAGGCTTCGGAGCATAGGGACATGGCAGTGCATTTGTCTTTCTTAGAGCTGGGAACTCCCTTTCCTAACACAGGGAGGGCTCTGCTAGAGCAGAAGGACCATGATCATTCCTTAATGTGAAACCATTAGATTTGGATCTGAGATTGCATTTGTGTGACAAAAATCAACCTACCATCCTAATGTTACTTTTTATTAAGTGTTCAGGCTTTAGGAGTTTCCTTTGCAACTTATAGTTGATAAGGGAGATAAGTCTACATTTCTAGAGTTAATCTCCATGCCACACAAGTAGTACATACTGGTGCATATACAGTGTAGGCCTTATAATAGCCCAAGCATCTGCTCACACAAGAAGCCAGGGAAAGCTGCTGAGACACAATGTCCTGGACCAGAATCACTGCTCTGAAACATTTCCTTGGTGCGAACTGGGCAAAATGAATGACACCTCACATCTTCACCGCAAAGCTCCAGTCTTAGAGCCTATTAGGCCATTCTCCTGCATCAGACTTTTCTTTGACTTTTAAAAACCAACAGATAACTCAGGGGTCCTTGAAAGAATAAAGTGTTCTTGGTATGAGGCTTATGTACAGTAACTTGAGTTGTTTGATCCACAAAGAGTTGGGTTCACAGCAAGTGTGGCTGTTCTCAACCTGGACTGTTTCATCAAACTCTAGAGGCACTAAAGGAAGTAGAAGCCTATCCTTCACCAGAACAGCCCACAGGGGCCACAGGACCCACAGGGCCCACAGTGCCCACAGTCTACAGTGTCTACAGTGCCCACGGTGTCTACAGTGTCTACAGTGTCTACAATGCCCACAGTGTCTACAGTGCCCACAGTGTCTACAGTGTCTACAGTGTCTACAGTGTTCACAGTGTCTACAGTGTCTACAGTGCCCACAGTGTCTACAGTGTCTACAGTGTCTACAGTGCCCACAGTGTCTACAGTGTCTACAGTGTCTACAGTGCCCACAGTGTCTACAGTGTCTACAGTGCCCACAGTGTCTACAGTGCCCACAGTGTCTACAGTGTCTACAGTGCCCACAGTGTCTACAGTGTCTACAGTGCCCACAGTGTCTACAGTGCCCAGTGTCTACAGTGTCTACAGTGTCTACAGTGCCCACAGTATCTACAGTGTCTACAGTGCTCACAGTGTCTACAGTGCCCACAGTGCCCACAGTGTCTACAGTGTCTACAGTGCTCACAGTGTCTACAGTGCCCACAGTGTCTACATTGTCTACTGTGCCCACAGTGTCTACAGTGCCCACAGTATCTACAGTGCCCACAGTGTCTACAGTGCTCACAGTGTCTACAATGCCTACATTGTCTACAGTGCCTATGATGTCTATAGTGTTCTGTCCCTTTCATGTACCACATGTGAGATTTCAAAACAAAGAGTGAGATATTGCCAGATATCTTTGGGTTCATCCAGATGGTTTGAATTCTTAATTAGATGACCACTTTCTTATTTGATGACCTTGGGCAAGGTAACTTCCCTCTAGAGACTGTCTATGAATAGCACTGGCACTATATCATGAGGGTCAGGACTTAAACAGTACTGCCTGTCATGTAGTAGTAGCTGCCACTGATGTTGCAGATGACAGATGATGACAATGGGGACAAATGCCTCTTTGTCAGACATCTTCCAAAGTAGACAGCCAGAATCCTGCTCCAGGGACAGTGAAGGATTTGGAGGAACTCTGGACCATCCCTATCCCAGGGGACAATGTCTCAGGGTTTCCGCTGTTGGTGGTGGGGAAGTCTCTAGCACAGATGTCAGCCCTAGCAAGGACTAGGGGTAACGAGGATGGTGAAAGACAGAATTGAGCATGGTCTCTGCTGTTTCTGGGCTGCTTGCTTCTTTAAGGATTTTGAGACCTGGCTCACCCACGGACAGTTAATGCCATTTATCTTTGACCCTAGAAAGAAACTGGCTCAGGCATGAAAGAAAAAGCATTTCAATACTTTGTCAGGTGTCTGACACATAAGGGACAGCCAAGTCACACAATGTAATGGCCTTGTGATATCCTGGGGAAGACAGTGGGTTAGGAACCAAATAGTTAACGTGTGGACCACTCAAGAATGCTGCAAAGAGCTATGGGGGGGGGCAGGAGGAAGGAGAGAGTTTGAAGAAGGGCCGAGTCCTGGAATATAAAAGACCCTGTATCTCAAGGATAACCCTAGACATGGTAGGAAAAAAAAAACACACCTGAGGACACTTTAATATAACTTTCCAACATCTAAGGAAAGAAAAATCCACAACTCTGTGCTTCTCCATTCAGGGCAGGGAATTCATTAACTAAGCATTTCTCTTGTTAGACATCAAACAATGCCAACTTAATTATACCCAGAGGCAACATGCCTGACACTTCCTTTTTCCTAATAGTCAGGAACAAGAATTCACAAACAACCTCTACATGCAAGAAATAATAAATGGCTCCAAATTATTATTGCTTTGATGGATGCACAAAAAAAAAAAATCCCTGGTGGTCATCAGAAGTCTCCCATTCCGTTAGCACATCCACACAAAGGCTGAGGTCACCTTTTCCTCATCTCTGGTGCAGTACACAGTATATGGAATGGGATTTGGTGGTTATTTTCTTCTCTTCTCTGTTTTTCTAGAGCGGAAACCTTCGGGGCAAAAGCTTATGTGATTTCTTCTATAATTCACACAGTCCTAGACACATCTACTAGGCTGTTTATTATTCAGGGTACAACAGCAGAATAAGAAAGAAACAGAGAAGAGGAGGCTTAAAGTGAAGGTTCCTCAAAGCTTAAGGAACAGTAGGCAATTCGTGGATTCCAGTTGGCTTTTAACGCTTGCAGGGGAAGCAGCAGTAAAGGGCTAGATTATATGAAAGGGCTTGCTTGGAGTAGTAAGAAGAGACTCTCTGCAAGGAGAGGCAGGAAAGAGGTAGAATATTCTAGAAGCTACCTTCTATTTGATACTATAAACTTAAAGTTAGATACAAATGATTCTTAAAATCATGAATGTGCCTACTGAGGCAGACTGTGGTCAGACTTCGATTTTCATCAATGGCAATGTGATTTAAGCTGGTAAGGCTCAAAGGCTGGTGATGTATTTTCCGCTGAGGATTTTAGCTATAGTAATAGATGATTTTCAAGCTGCATGGAATACTAACATCTCAGAGATCAGAATTCAGATACTGAGAATGCATTTTAACTGATAGCTGAATCCAAAAGCCATGGCCCAAAGCTTTCTCTAGAGAATTCTGATTATTACACCATTTCATCAAATAACTTTGACTCTTGATATATCTTTTATGGGAAAGAATCACAGGGCCCTGCCCCCATAAAATCAACAAGCCAAAGAGAAGCCAAGTTTCCAGTGAGAAAGAGCGTAATGAAGGGACATTCAGTCACACTAGATGATTCCAGCTTCCACAATAGTGTTGCGAAGCTCCGGATAATTAGTCACAGCAACAGCCAAGTTCAAGTTGAATACAAGCCACATTTCAAATGATATTGCATCTTACAACATTATAATCAATCATATTTAGTACATGTAGACTATTTAAAACATGCTAGAAAAGTCACTTTGCTAAGCAACCTTTCAGCCCTCTTGTACCCAACACCTTGAAGACGAATGCTTGGAATGGAGTCTTGGAAGGTAACGGCATTCAGAAGGTCTTAATCAAACTCATTGTGCAGCTGTGTACTTTGCACTAGATTTCAGCTGTCACAGAATGGGAATGACACTTACAGCAGCCATGGAATTAAGCTGATCAATGTAGAACTCAGGCCAACTTGTTGCTCCCTTGTTTTCTTCCTGGTCCTATAAGAAAGAGAGAGAGAGAGACAGAGAGAAAGTCAGTAACTACAAAGATGTGATACATTGCAAAGGTACACACATAGCAGTACACCTGGTGTGCCATGCATCAGGACAGTGGTGTGCAAAGCCACCAGAATACAGGCGATACTTATTTATATTATCAGGTCATCTACTTGACTAAAATGTTCTTCCCAATCTGAGAGAGGAGGAAGAGAGGAGGCAGCAGGGAAGGAGAGGGAGAGGGAGAGGGAGAGGGAGAGGGAGAGGGAGAGGGAGAGCATGCTAAAGTTTCAGATATGACTAAAGGACATGTTCGAACCGATGGAGGACTTATACCAGGGTACAGTTTTTTCCTTTAGGGACAAAAATGACCCTGGGAAGAACATTCCAGGCCCCATATCACACTGAGGACTATATATCTGTGTGAAATTCAAGAGTGAGACCTGCCTCAACACACAGGCATGGTCGGTTGGTGACCAGACTTTTTCAGGCTGTTACTCAGAGTCCTGCAGATATTAACATTTTTGAAGTAGGATTTCATTTGATGTGGCCTAAAGTAGGTTACTGACATTGGGTGGAGGTAATAAAAAGAACACACGTTAGTCCCAGGCAGTTCTCCTGCTAAGCTAGCTCAGGAGTTTTGGTAGAAGATAGAGTATGTCTCTGCTAAAAAAACAGAAACCCATTCCCCAAGTACCTCAGCTAGTTGTGTCTCACAAACCAGAGTGACCTGGAGCCAGAACAGGAGGGGCATGTGTGGAAGGGGGCCACTGACAAGTCTGAGCTGAAAACTCCAGAAGTACCTGCCTACTGTAGTTTCTGCTGCAGACACATCATGCTCATCCCTGAGACACACTGTGTGTAGTTCTATGCCTCTCTGTACACTCTTGTGTCTGTGTTAACAGGGCTGAGAAATAGCACAGTAGCTCCCTATCTTCACATTCGGAGAGCACCCTGATCCAATGGGCTAGCTCTGTGTCTTTGGAGAAGACACTGCCATATACACACAGCTGCTGTGTGATACTCAAGGGGTTGTTACCTGTTCCAGGGTTCTTAGTTTCAGTAGCCCACATCTACACATGTAGACAGGGTAGACATACACATACTGGTTCTTATGAGAGTGATTTCTAGGTAAAGCTTACTTTTAGTCTTAGACTTTATCTTTGCCCAAGCTCCCTTCTCCCATCTCTGTTACCCAGGCTGGTCTCAACTTTAGAGTAATCCTCCTGCCTTAGTCACACAGCACTTTCTCTAGAAAATACTTCCAAGTGGGTCTACTCAGGTGTGATAAAAGAAATACAGTTCAAAGCTGTTTTCAAGTCATCATAACAAGAAGGCAAGTGGCTGTCTACAGGACCACCCGAGTGGGTAGTAACATATGCAGAGCTGGACGATGAGGGCCAAGGTGGGCTACAGCAGTGGCTTTGAAGTTGGGCTGAATTACACTCTTGTGATTTAGAAACATTCAGGAAGTCTGATGAGTTTTTAGAACAGCTCTTGGTTATAATTTAGCATGTTAATAAAAGAGCTGTGGTGGCTACATAAATGCTGAACCCAACTTTCTTCTTAAAGGGAGCATTAAAATTAGCAAAACCCTGCTGTTACCAATGTACTAAACAAGCCAAAACCCACAGTGATATTCAATGGTATTTGAACCTATAAAATGAAATAGAAGGTGCCAGATCTTTCTATTCTCCCCAAACTAGGGCAAATTTCCAAAGCAAACAAGAATCAAGTCCCATTCCAAGGTTCCACAAGGGCTTGACTGTTGTAAGCTTCATAGTCCTGGATACAAAATAGAGATTATTTTAGAGACTGAAGACAGAGCGCAGGAGGAAGACGTTGCATTTCTGAAATGTTTTAATAATACTAGCAGTTAAGAGTAGATCTGAGCTGGTTGATGCTGCTTTGCAGTAGGAGGCAGGGGGACTCTTCCTCTTGGCCACGCAGCTTGAGCTGCCTGTGCAGTTCCGGTCCTCACATACACATGTATGCAGCAGCAGTCAGATTAAATACAAGTTTGAGTCAGTGTTCTCCTTCTAGTGAAAGAGATTGTTAGAAGTCTATAGTTCTCACTGAGGAGTCAGAAAGAAATGAACCAACTGTTCTGGTGTGTGTGTGGGGGTATTCTATAAAGAGCCCAGGATGCTGAGACACACCAAGGTGAAGACACTCTTAAGGCATACAATCTTCCTGGTGACAAGTGTGTCCTTGCTAAGAGAAGCATGTCCGGTGCCTCTGACATGTATTATTCTTTGGACCACATATCTCAGTTCTATTTTCTTACTCTAAGGAAGACGTAGTTAAGATAGTCAAGATTGTAGAGACAAGACACATCAAGGGTAATAGGAGCAACAGCAATACCCAGCATTTACACAACTTGTTATGTGTCAGACCTTGTTCTAAACATTACCATTTCCTTCAGTTCGCTTCATGAGTCATATGAAATGCTATCATATCATTTTGATGAGAAGAGAGGGCAAGGAAAGACTAAGCTGAAGGTAGTGGAAAAGAGGTATTGGGGAAGGGTCAGGGTGCACTTTCTCCTAAGATTAGACCTAGAAGGCCTCGTGAGTCATGGAAGACAAACATAAGACTGCCTTTCATTTTTAACCATTTCACTGTAAGAGAACTGGAATAGGGTCAGCAGACAAAAACAGTTTACCTTTCCCCAAACTTTATTCTGCCACATTGGTTCTAAGGTCTGGTGTCTTATCCAGGTCCTCTACTCTGCCCTCTCTACACTATTTGAGAGCTCCTTAGTTCTGTCATCCATGCCATTATGTATACACACATCTGTGCTCAGAGAGCAGCTAAAAAGCTTTTCTCTAACCTTTCTTTTCTGTCACCCCCCCCACACCGAGATACAGGTGGCCTTCCTGAGGACTTCTCTATAAAACTTAAAATTAGCTCTTAATCATGCAGTTCTGGACTCTGGGATTACACCTTCTTCAATCACTCAGCTAACCCTATTTATGCCACCTTCTTTACCAATTCCACTACAGCATTTATCGAAACAAGGATATTAGTTTATTACAGTCTGCAAAAAAGAAAAAAAAAGATTTTTCCCCCTCTCTTAAGATAGACTATTGTAGCCATGTATGGTAGATCAAACCTATAATCTTAGTTACTTGGGAAACTGAAGCAAGAGGATCCTGAGTTTGAAGTCAATCTGACAACTATAGTAAGGTCTATTTCAAAAACAAAACAAGACTCCCAAAATACATTATTGACCACAGTTCATGACACTGAGAAAAGTAGTCTTAAGTGACCACTTCACATTAAATGTTCTTTCTAGTGTACCCAAACATTAAAATCTAGTTTTGTATCCTAGTTTGCTGTAACTGTTAATACAATCTAGAACTCACTTGAGAACTTGAGTTGAGGAATTCCCTAATATCAAACTGGCCTATGGACTGTCTGTGGGGACTCTCTGGGCTATTAACTGATAGAGGAGAGCTCATCCCACTATGGGCAGCACATTTTCTGAGCAAGTGGTCCTGGGCTGTACAAAGAAACTAGCTGAGAATGAGCTACCAGGCAGCATTCCTCTATGGTTCCTGTTGTACCTCTGTGATGACTAACGTTATGTTTGAAGTTACAACTACTGTGTTTCCGAGATCTATAAAACAAAAATGCCTCTAACCTGTAAATCCCACCTGCCCTAGGATAGATAACTTCCTGGGATGCTGGGGGCTGTTGTTCATGCACGATAACAAACCATGTGGTTTTGTTTCTGTAAACAAGTTTGGTTGCCCCCATTTGCACAGGATGTGTGCTTGATCATATGTAGGCAAGAAATAGCCTTGTGAGTTTTGCCTCTATAAGCCCTTGACTAATGTAATTCAGTGTCATAATCTGAATTATATTACATCTGAGCATCTACAGTCTTGGGTATGGTCCTAGACAGTATTTAATAAATTACTTATTAAATTTACTCATGGACATAGTGAATCTCTCAGCAATCCCAGAACCTAACATCTCTTTGTCTATGAAGTGAGTTCCTGGGTGGGAGTTAATGCTGTATGTACAGTAAGCCAGCCTGCCTCCAAGTTCCTGCTTGAGTTCTTGCCTTGACTGATGGACAGCAATCTGTACATTGAAACAAATCTTTTCCCCTCAAACTGCATTCTGTCCTGGACTGTGACACAACAATATTCATTGCTTGTTCCTTGAAAACGTTACACACATTTAAGTTTACTGGAATTATCTTCACATCTGCTAGAGAATTAGAACAGAAATAAGTGTTTGAACTTATCAATTTCTCTGCTGGTTTCTTTTGGCGGGGCAGGGGTTGAGAATGTGTACATATGCCACTAATGTCTAGAGACATGGTATGATGGGAAACCACCAATACAGCCATCTGAAGATGGGATTCTAGAACCTTTCTTTTTATTCACTGAGTTGGCAGTTTGTGTTATTTTCCTTCTCTCCAAAATAAGAGTGAGGTCAGAATGTTTCTGAAGTTCCTACAATCTCTAAGATTCCAACTTTGTGGAGACACAACCTCTACTGTACTTAATTTCATGTCTCAACGTCTAACACCAATAACTTGCAAAAATTTACATCGTCCAATGACTCAGTTGCAGAACTATTCATTTTCAAAAGTTACTCCAACAGTAATTCAGTAGACAGCCAGGTCTTTGCTACCTTGTGATTTCTTTAATTCAGTTCTTCCTGTTTCATTAGGAGTCTTCAGACACTGACAGGAGAATACTGATGGCTGAGACTTCCTGCTGGACATAACTCACCTTTGACACTTTGCCCCCAGCCTGCATTGACTATTGTTTATCCCCCTTTCCTTATTGCATGCATGCACGCATGCATGCATAAAATCTAGATACTTAGGAGGTAAATATGTCCTTTCTAACATCACATCATCTTCAGATGGTACACTTTTTCATTTAACTCTCAGGTCAATGGATCCTTTAGAAGATTTCTTAGAAATCTTCCTCCATTCTTTTTAATATGCATAAGTGACCTTGTTTTTCTCAACATCACTT